TAGATCAGTTGTGCTGAATAGATATGTATAGGACATTCCATCCAAAACCAGCAGAAAGAGACTACTACCAGCAGCTCTATGCCAATAAAATGGACAACTTGGAAGAAATGGAAAAGTTCTTAGAGAAGTATAACTTTCCAAAACTGAACCAGGAAGAAATAGAAGATCTTAACAAAACGATCACAAGCAAGGAAATCGAAACTGTAATCAGAAATCTTCCAGCAAACAAAAGCCCAGGACCAGATGGCTTCACAGCTGAATTCTNAGAAATGAGATAATACCTCAAGACAAAAATACAACTTTCCAAAATCTATGAAAGGGAAAGTGTTAGTCGCTCAGTCACATCCCACTCTTTGCAACCCCACATGGACTGCAGCCCACCAGGCTCCTCTGTCCATACAATTCTCCAAGCAAGAATACTGGAGTGAGTAACCATTCCCTTCTGCAGGGATCTTCCCAACCCAGGGACCGAACCCAGGTCTCTTGCATTGCACGCAGATTCTTTACCGCCTGAGTCACCAGAGAAGCCCAATATCTATGGGACACAGCAAAACAGGCCCAGAAGAGAAGCTTAGAGCAATGCAGGCCAACCTCAGGAGACATGAAAAGTCTCAAACAACCTGACCTACTATCTATAGGAATTAGAAAAAGAAGAACAAAGCCTGAAGTCAGTGGAAGGAAGGAAATAGTAAAGATCAATCAGGAAATGAAATAGAGCCCCCCTAGAGAAAAAACCAATAGAAAAGATTGATGTAGGCATGAACTGTTTTTTGAAGAAATGAAAAACAGAATTGATAAGAATCGATAAGGCTTTAGCCAGTTGCCATGTCAGGCTATCACACATCACTACCAGAAATATGTTATTTTTATAATTTTTCCATTTACTCTCAATGTACTGCTAAAATGTTCCTTTCTCTTACTTTCTGGGTTCCATTTCCCTTAGGGCACAATTAATGGCTCCTCTTTCCCATTTCCTGTAGCACTTTATACACACCTTTACCGGCACTTGCCACTTTGTTTTATAGTGCCTTGTTTATTCTTGCCTGGAGAATCACATGGACAGAGGAGACTGGTGGGCTACAGTCCACAGGGTCGCACAGAGCCAAACACGACTGAAGCGACTTAGCACAGCACAGCACACAGCACCTTTGTTTATGAGTCTGTTTTCCTACCTAAGTTGTGAATTTTTCCTAGTTGGGACCTCTGCTTTCCTCAACTTTGTTTCCACAATCTCAAGCATAAGATCTAACATTGATTTATGTTTGTGGAGTTGAGTTGAAAGGCTGGAATGCGTGGATTTCATCTCTCCTCCTCCAAACTCAATGTTACTTTCTTCAAGTGTATTGATTAGCCATTCTAGCCAGCACTGTCTCCTATTGTGCTCTGTGCCATGCTTTCTGTCATATGCTCAGATTGACTTTAGCCCCTATCAGTAAACTCCTGCTGCCATAGCTTCAATGGTCCCTAAAAGTCCAAGTTGCCTTCCTCCTTCAGCTGACATTTATCTTCTCTATTGCCTGTGTTATTTGTGGTAATCATGTTTTATAAAGGCACTGTAGACTCTGAGTTAGTGAATACTGAACACTTCTCCCTCGTGGAAACACAGGGTTGAGTTCCTGTGAACCTCTGGTCACGACATTTGTGTCAGATACTCAGCACATAACCTTGCTGTATATGTGTTTCCATTTAAAGGCACCTAGTTTAATGTATCGGAGAAGGCAATGGCAACCCACTCCAGTACTCTTGCCTGGAAAATCCCATGGGCAGAGGAGCCTGGTAGGCTGCAGTCCATGGGGTCATGAAGAGTTGGACACGATTAAGCGACTTCCCTTTCATTTTCACTTTCATGCATTGGAGAAGGAAATGGCAGCCCACTCTCGTGTTCTTGCCTGGAGAATCCCAGGGGCGGGGGAGCCTGGTGGGCTGCTGTCTATGGGGTCGCACAGAGTCGGACATGACTGAAGTGACTTAGCAGCAGCAGCAGCTGTTCAATGTATATTGTTGGTGCATCAACCTTGAAGTCACAGCCAACAGCAGTATAACTCACACCTGAACAAAGCTTGTCTAACACACGTATGTCCTGTCAAGCACATCACGAGCTTCTCCTTAGGACCACTAGACAGCTCTTTAGCACTATGCTTGAGGGCCATTTTAAATGGCGAAATCACCATCAAAACGCACACAAAAATGTGAAAACTGTGGCACTGAACAGATCATGAAAAGAAAGTTTGTACAGTACAAGAGCAGTGTTACTTATTCAACCTCAGCATGGAATGTATGCTTCTTGCCACTGCTCATGTCTGTGAATGACCATGACACAGCTAAGGACTGATTTTGGGGACACAGTGAATTTTAGAGAGTTGGTGAATTTGCAAATATGAATCTATGGATAATGAGGATGGATTGTGCCCCCGTAGTATCTCATCTTCTGAAATTATGAGATTCATGGCACAGATCTTGCTTCTTGGTGGCCTCCCTTTTAGGTGTTTTTAGGTTTCAACTTTCTCATGTTTCTTAATCCTGCTGCTGCTTGACTCACTTCTCATACTCCAAAACTTTTTGACCTCTCTTATTGCCGTGTTTTGTTGTCTCTTCTCCCATTTGTTTTGTTTTGTGTGACTTTGTAGCTTTCCTCTACCTTTACCGTAATTTTCATGGAGTTATCTGATAGAGCAGAGAGAAATGTATATATCCAATCAACCATGGAGCCAGAATTTTATTGTATAACATCATTAGTCAGGTGTTATATGTATAATAAGTTTACTAAGTATTTGCTGAATAAATTAAAGAACTGCTATTTTTGTGCAAAAATGTACCTGTCCTAGATAGTACATTATAATGGTATTTTTTTAGTACCTCATAGTTTACTAGGTAAAAAAAAAAAAAACTTTCTCCTCCTTACTTCTGCTAAACTTTCCTACTTAGTAGAACATTGACTGAGGAAGATGGGAAATAAATTAAGACCTATATGGGGATGTCCCTGGTGGCATAGTGGATAGGAACACTGCCAGTGCAAGGGACATGGGTTTGAGCCATGGTCCAGAAAGATTCCACATACCTCAGAGCAACTAAGCCCATAAGCTGCAACTCCTGAGCCTGCATGCTTCAGCTACTGAAGCCCAAGCGCCTTTGCTCTGCAATAAGAGAAGCCACAGCAGTGAGAAGACTGCACCCCACAATAACTAATAAGTTTTAAAAAATTGCTAAATAAAAAAACATATTCAGCTGGACAGCATATCTTGTTTTAAAGCTTAGGTTTCTTTCCTTTTGCATCATTTTTTCCATAGACAGTTCCATAGACTTTGTGATTTGTCAATTACAAAGAGATAAAATTGTAATGCCTGAAGTGATCCCGGAAACAATCAGATTTAACCTTTGATTTATAGGATACTGAGAGTCAGGCTGTCTTGGTTCAGTTCCTGGCTCTACTACTTGATTTGGACAAGTGTCTCTTTCTGGCCTCTGTATCCTTATCTATAAGATGAGAGGAAAAATATTGCTGATTTCATAGAATTGTTGTGAAGATTGAGATAATTTCAAGTTTGTAGTAGTATGACTGACATGTAGTAAGATCTCCATATATATTTAATTATTATATTAAGTCACTTAATTAGTAATTTAGCTGGCTTCCAGCCCCCCAGTTTAGTATACTTAATATTGGGTTGGTCAAAACGTTTGTTTTTCTGCAGTACTGGATGAAAAACCCAAATGAACTTTTTGTCCAACCCAACACATGCTTAGGAATTATAAATCTCTTTCCAAGTTAGCTATCATTATTTTCTCTCCATCTCCTTCCTCATTTAAAGATCATTGCATGATAATATATTTCTGAAGCTAAACATACTCTTAGCATTTCACCCACTACCACCTGCATTTGTAAGGACTTCCTGTATAGAACATTTTAAATTTAGTCATTCTTTTGTTTATGGCACTTTCAGATGGCACTTTTTCCTGTAAAGTTGAGTGGTCTCACAGAAGCAGATTTTTTTAAAGTTACAATAATGCACTCCATTTCCTAGCATAAGTGGGTAAGTGCCACCCTGGCTTGGGCTGGGCTTAAAAGCGAAGGAAAAGCCCTTGGACCAGAGAGGAAACACTTGCATAACTGTGTTGATAAATTACAAACCACTACATAGACTTTATGATTTTGTCAATTACAAAAAGATAAAATTGGAATGCCTAAAGTGATCCCAGAAACCATCAGATTTAACCTTTGATTTATAGGCTACTGAGAGTCAGGCTGTCTTGGTTCAGTTCCTGGCTCTACTACTTGATTTGGCCAAGTGTCTTTTTCTGGCCTCTGTGTCCTCATCTATAAGATGAGAGGAAAAATATTACTGATGTCATAGAATTGTTGTGAAGATTGAGATAATTTCAAGTTTGTAGTACTATGACTGACAGGTAGTAAGATCTCCATATATATTTAATTATTATATTAAGTCACTTAATTAGTAATTTAGCTGGCTTCCAGCCTCCCAGTTTAGTATACTTAATATTGGGTTGGTCAAAACGTTTGTTTTTCCACAATACTGGATGAAAAACCCAAATGAACTTTTTGGCCAACCCAGCACATGCTTAGGAATTATAAATCTCTTTCAAGTTAGCTACCATTATTTTCTCTCCATCTCCTTCCTCATTTAAAGATCATTGCATGATAATATATTTCTGAAGCTAAACATACTCCTAGCATTTCACCCATTACCACCTGCATTTGTTAGGACTTCCTGTATAGAACATTTTAAATTTAATCATTCCTTTTAGTTGTTTATGGCACTTTCAGATGGCACTTTTTTCTGTACAGTTGAGTGGTCTCACAGAAGCAGATTTTTTTAAAGTTACAATAATGCACTCCATTTCCCAGCATAAGTGGGTAAGCGCCACCCTGGCTTGAGCTGGGCTTAAAAGCAAAGGAAAAGCCCTTGGACCAGAGAGGAAACATTTGCATAACTGTGTTGATAAATTACAAACCACTCTCCTTGCTCTCACTTGTGCTGTGGAAGACAGAGCACCTTTGATGTGGATCTATTTAAACAGCAGAACCTCTGTGGGATACCACCCCACACAGGAAGGTGAGTATCAGGCCACAGAACCTGATAATGCAAACAGTTGCAGATTTGGTCCCTTCTTCTATTATATGAGGGTTTATTTCTGCTTTCTTCAATAAAGTTATCGGTCAGAACTTGCTGCATGACTTACTCTGTAGTTAGATTGGTTATTGATGGTTACAAGGAATCTAATCTTCTGGCAGTAAATCTTTTTAAAATGCTGGCTCTAGGGTGGGAGATGGTGGAGGAAAGCGATCAGGGGCTGGGGAAAATATAAGAACATTAAAGGTTTATCTTTCTGGGAACTTGAGGCTGTAGAAAATTAGACCTAGGAGATTCAGAAGAAAATCCCTGTCTGTAATGGCATTTTGTGTCAGGAGGACTGAGGGAGAATAAACCACTAATAACTACTGCTTGATTTTGATGGAGAGAATCTAGGCTTTAGAATAAGACAAGCGTAAGTTTGAATTCAGTCATAGGGTCGCAAGGAGTCAGACACGACTGAGTGACTGAACTGAAAATGCAACTGAAGTCACTTACAAACTATGAGAGTTTTGGACTGATTATGTGATACTGTGAGCCACAACTTCCATATCTGTAAAGCAGGGGTAATAATACCAACTCTGCAGGGATTTTAGGAAGGACAGGTGTAATTTATGTAATGCACTTAGGACTTTGTAGACTCCTACCATCGCGTCATACTTGTGTTTTTGCCAATCTTGCTGCTAGCTGTCTCAAAGTATTCACTGTGTGAAAGCAGCCTGAACCTCAAATGGGTTTATACTCTGAAACTGAATGCAGTTTCCTGATAACTTTTTCAAAGTAATTGAGATATAATTAACTTATTAGTTTCAAGTATACAACATAATGATTGAATATCTGTATGCAGTGTGACATGATCACCACATTAAGTCTAGTTNTCAAAGTAATTGAGATATAATTAACTTATTAGTTTCAAGTATACAACATAATGATTGAATATCTGTATGCAGTGTGACATGATCACCACATTAAGTCTAGTTAAGGAAACATATATGGTGGCACTAATGGTAAAGAACATGCCAGCCAATGCAGAAGATGTAAGGGATGTGGGTTCAATCCCTAGGTTGGGAAAATCCCCTGGAGGAGGGTGCGGCAACCCAATATTCTTGCCTGGAGAATCCCCATGGATAGAGGAGCCTGGCAGGCCCAGTCCACAGGGTCTCAAAGAGTCGGCCAGGACTGAAGCGACTTAGCATGCACACATACCACCATACATAGTTACAAAACTTTTCTCTTGTGATGAGAGCATTTAAGGTTTACTGCCATAGCAACATTCAAATATACAGTACAGTATTAATAACTAATATTAACATATTTGTCACCATGCTGAGAGCTCTTAATCTCATCTTGATAAGGTACATAAGCATTTCCTCACCCAAAAAGAAGATACAGTTAGTTTACTAGGCTGAAATTGCCAATATTTGACTGTTTTAGACTTATGAAAATAGCAATTTTGTATAATTCAACCTAGAAGTATGTTGCTATCCCTAGAATTTACTTCTTTGTCCATCCTTTAAAAACTCAATCCCATGCTCTGCACAGTTTGTGGCACAGAATGTGTATCAGCACACGTTAACTGAGTAAATGTATGAATGAATGAATGAAAGCAGGGTCATATAGTGATATATTTGTGTGCAGGTGAAATCAGTTAAAACGGCCTCCAGGACACAGCCGTGAGTGGGAACTGAAACTCCAAAGAACAGCCTGTGTGTGGGGTGGTGGAGGTGTTTAGCAAAGAGTCGGCCACGACTGAAGCGACTTAGCATGCACACATACTACCATACATAGTTACAAAACTTTTCTCTTGTATTGAGAGCATTTAAGGTCTACTGCCACGAAAGTGAAAGTTGCTCAGTTTTGTCCGACTCTTTGATACACCACGGACAGAATTCTCCAGGCCAGAATACTGGAGTGGGTAGCTGTTCCCTTCTCCAGGGCATCTTCCCAAGCTAGGGATCAAACCCTTGTTTCCCACATTGCAGGCGGATTCTTTATCAGCTGAGCCACAAGGGAAGTCCATGCATGGTTACAAAAGTTTTCTCTTGTGATGAGAACTTTTAAGGTCTACTGCCATAGCAACTTTCAAATATACAGTACAGTATTATTAACTAATATTAACATATTAGTCACCATGCTGACAGCTCTTAATCTCATCTTGATAAGGTACATAAGCATTTCCTCACCCAAAACGAAGATACAGTTAGTTTACTGGGCTGAAATTGCCAATATCTGACTGTTTTAGACTTATGAAAATAGCAATTTTGTATAATTCAACCTAAAAGTATGTTACTATCCCTAGAATTTACTTCTTTGTCCATCCTTTAAAAACTCAATCCCATACTCTGCACAGTTTGTGGCACAGAATGGGTATCAGCACACATTAACTGAGTAAATGTATGAGTGAATGAATGAAAGCAGGGTCATATAGTGATATATTTGTGTGCAGGCGAAATCAGGTAAAACAGCCTCCAGAACACAGCCTTGAGTGAAAACTGAAGCTCCAAAGAACAACCTGTGTGTGGGGTGATGGTGGTGTTTGTGTGTGTGTAATGGGAGATTGCTAGAGAGGAAAACAGCCGTGCTATTGCTCTGCTTGGGTGATAGGAGATAGAATGTGGAGAGGAAGGGATAGTTTAACATCAGCTGGCAAGAGCAGAGTCTCTTCCTTTGTTCTCTTGTCTCCAGCCACTGCTGTAGCCAGCAATAATTGGTTGGTTTCACTTCCAGTCATTGTACTCCTAACAGTAGCTACTACTTTAAAGAGAAGACACTAAAAATTACTCAAGTGGCATCACTTTATGTTCTGAGTCCTTTGGTTCAGCATGAATATTCACTGTGAATATTCACAGTGTTGTTTGAGAATTCCAGAGCTCCTGTTGTATTCAAATCAGGCACCACTAATGAGAAGGTGTATATTTCCTAGGAAGTGCCTCCTTAGTGGAGACAGTTATTCAAAGCTGCGGCATTTTAAAAGTTAGTGCTGATGAGTCAGGCAATGAAGGTAATGGTTTAATGGTTCTCCTTAAGAGCTCAGGATAATCTTCGAGAATTTTCTGTAGCCCACAGTCTTGCTGCACCCAGAATTGCTCAGATTTGGGGAGGCTGATTACCACATATAAGACTTCATGAGACTGGTATGTTTAAACAAAGGAGGGTAGTCTTTTCTAATTACTAGAAGACTTACATCCTTTGTTCAGGATTTGAACTTATGCTAAATTATTAATAATCAGAAATGACCTCACAGAATCAGAGCAATCATGGAAATTTGGGGGTTTGAGGTATCTTTCAACAAGGCTGTGGTGAAGTCTAATGATTGTCCTGTTATAGAGTACAGCTGACCCTTGAACAACATGGATTTTAACTATGTGTCTTGTTTTCAATAGTAAATACTGTCGTACTACACTGTTTGTGATTGGTTGAATCCAAGGTTGTAGAACCTCAGATGGGGAGGAACTGGGCGTATGGACAGAAGTTATGTGAATGGATTTCTGACTGTGTGGAGAGCCTGTGCTCCCAACTTTGGCATTACTCAAGGTCAACTGTATGTCACTCCAGCAATGGAAAACTTAATTTCCTCCCATGGATACTTAGTCACTCAGTTGTGTCCAACTCTTTGTGACCCCATGGACTGCAGCCTGCCAGGCTCCTCTGTCCATGGGATTCTCCAGGCAAGAAGAGTGGAGTGGGTTGCCATTTCCTCTTCCAGGGGATCTTCCTGACCCAGGGATCTAAACTGCATCTCCTGTGTTGCTGGCAGATTCTTTACCCCTGAGCTATCAGGGAAGCCCTATGAACACGGATGAACACTGCCAACTTTTTTTCTGTGACCTCTCCTTTCCATTTCCATAGTCTCCTTCCATTTAGGATACGTTTAGTTGAATAAATTCCTGCAACTAAATGACAGTGTTAATTTTCCAGATCCAACTCTCTTGAGTGTACACCCAGGCTTCCTTGGAAGAAGTTCGGAGTGAACTCAAGTTTTTCAAATGCCATTTTACAAATACATTCTTGATTTACTCCCACAGTTAACTAGGATCACTTCTGTGCACACATTTTGCTAGTTGAACTCTCAGTTGAACTAATTTCTAAGTTCCTGGGAGGTACCTCACATTTCTGGAGGTAATGCCCTGGAGGACAAACAGGTGTTAGGGCATTGTCATTCTAGCAAAGCTTATTGACTTCCCCAGTCATCAGCTCTTCCCTCTCCTTGGACATTCTGTGCTCTCCTTGCACTATTGTAATTACAGCATTTATCAGGTGACATTTGCTCTTGCTATCCATGCTTCTGTTGCTGCAAGTAGCTCAGTGGTTCTCAACCCTTTTTTCTTCTACAGCTTTGTCTCTGGGTATTACTGCTGTTTTTTGTTAAGGCTTTAAAAATTCACAAATAATAAGTGAGTATTCTCACTGTAAAGCAAAGAAGCAATAATTACAATTAATTAAAATATTTAAGTACAAAATATTCAATATTTAATATTGATAAAATTTTAAAGTGCAAAAGCCTGTGTTCGAATAATAATTTGAGCTTTAGCACTTATAATTGCTTATTTGTTCAACCATTGAGACTGTGAGCATCATGTCTTGAATAGTGTCTTCATGACTGGGCCTCCCTCACTTGCCAGTATGCTTTTAGTACTTGTAAAGACATGCTTTTTGGCTGAGAACTGGAGAAAATTGACAACATTGTGAATATTTAGATGTTAAAAAGTGCTATTACTGGGAATTCCCTGGTGTTTCAGTGGTTAGGACTCTGAGCTTCCATTGCAGAGGGCATGGTTTCTATCTCTGGTCAGAGGACTAAGATCCCACATGCTTCAAGGCCAAAAAAAAAAAGAAAGAAAGAAAGAAAAAATTCTATTCAAGGCCAAAAAAAAATCTATTGCTGTTATAATTAATTTTCAAAGGACACATTTATTCTTTATTGAAAAATTTAAAAACTTCCTAAGTTTTATGCTCATTTAAATCAAAATGGTTGTTTTTGGAGAGATTAGCCACAGCTCTTGAGTAACAGGCATTAACTATTGCTGTTATGTAACCAGTCTTTTGTTGTTTCATAATGGTATTTCTATGACTATGAATCCAAGTTCTCACTCTGCTTTATTTTGCCTTAGGCACTTTCAGTTAGTTAGGTGTTTCAACTGGTTTGTGTGTGAGAAAATGTTATCCCTATGGTTTTCGTCCGGAAATGCTGCATTCAACTTTTCCTTAAATGATTTATTTTGCTGAAAACTCTCCTTTTCCCCCCATAATGATATGTCAGCTGAAAATGTAGCATCATTTATTTCTTTCTGAAAGCGAGATATTGCCTTTACATTTGCTTTAATCCTTAGACTATCTCACCATCTCATCTGGAATGACGTGAGGCGCCAGCAGCCTTTTTATTCTAATTATTCCGCAAACAATAGTGAATGTCTACCAGGTCCCAGGCACTGCCTTCCACACTCAGGCTTCACAGAGAGAGAAGCTCCACTCTTCAGAAGCTCCCTATTTGTAGAGAAGCCAGCAGGTAAACTACTAAACACCATTCTGTGTGCTGCGTGCACAGCACAGAAGGCGTGGAGGGCGGCTGGGGCACAAAGGCCGGCCGGCGGGTTGAGTCCATCTGGGAGCTCAGGGAAGGTGCTTGGAGAAGGCTAGCTTTGAGCTGAGTCTGGAAAGATGGATCACTTTGTCAGGAATAGGGAAGAAAGGACATTCTAGACAGAAGGAACCACGTGGACAAAGCATGGAGATGTGAAATTGCATGGTGCTTTTGGGAAATGACGAGATGCCTTGTTGAGCTGGAGTGGTCAAGAACTGAGGCAGAGACTGGAGGACAGTACTGTCTTTCTGGAGTGTACTCTTGCTGACTGGTGTACTTTTTGTATTATATAGTAGAATTAACTGTGGACAAAATAATTGACTGGGGTAATGGAATAATAACAGAGGGATCTATGTGATGCCAACCAAATAAATATAACAAAACAGAATATAATACAAAATATATAAAATAAAATACCTTTCCTCAAAATTCCCAAAATCTGCTTGTCACTAGAAACAGAACTGTTGAGGAGAGACAGGAAGCAAACTAACTCTTGACTGATGATATTTTCTGTTCTCTTTTCAGCCTCCCCGCATTATTTGGGAACAATGTGGGCCTGGATACTGTGGACGCTCCCTCTACTCTGCAAATTTGGCCTGGCAGGTAGGTCAGCCTGTGCCCTTTTATGGATTATGTGATTCTTTTTGCCTTTTTTGGATAAGAGTTGTTAACTTGAGAACCAAGGGACACCTGTACATGGGCATTCATGGATGAACAGTGGGAGATTTGTGAACTCCCTGAATTTGTGTGGGGTTGTATGTGTGTGTTGATATATACTTATGCATGTGCAAGTTTGGCAAGATGATCTATCATATTTTCAAAGGGAGATATGGCCCTTTGAAAGTCAAGATTCACTGTTTTAGAGTAATAGTAGGTGATTATCTTGGTGATTCCTGTGTTAAGTGTGCATTGGTTCATGTAGGATACACACAGAAAAACATATATACATTTTCACACTATTTGCCATAAATTTCAAGGGTATAAAGGGAAATGAAGCAACATCTTTCTACAATGGTCCAACTCAAAACTATGGGCCTAAAGGCCATATAATACCTTGTAGATCTAAGATGTATTACTTAGATCACATATTGTGTTAAAAAAGATAAGACCAGATTAAAAGAAATGGTGACTGAACCCTAGGAATGTAGAAAAGGCATGTAGTATAATTATTAGTCTGGTCAGGCTGCTATATAACAAAATACCACAGACGGGATAGCCTAAACAACAGAAGTTTATTTTCTCACTGTTTTTGGAGACTGGAAGTCCAAGGTCAAGGTGTCTGCAGAGTTGATTTTCTCTGATACCTCTCTCCTTGACTTGTAGATGACCATCATCTTGTTGCCTCTTCATGTGGTCATCCCTCTGTGTATCTTAATCTCCTCTTGTAAGGACACCAGTCAGATTGAATTAGGATACACTGTAAAGGCCCCATTTTAGTTAATACATCCTTATATGCCCTGTTTCCAAATGCACAGCAGAGAGAGGGTAGGGCTTCAACATATGAGGTTTGTGGGGAGAGACACAATTTAGGCCATAACTTATCATAATCAGAGGTCACCCAGAAGGCAGTTGTGATCCAGAGATAATGAGAAAGTCTTCTAGGCCTCTGGCATGCCTGGCCCACCTTCAGGTCCCTGGGCTTATACTTGTGGACACTCCAGAGCTTTGGAGACAGTACAGGTAGGTAGGGCTGTGTGTCTCTGTCTCTTTCAGCCATCTCAGAAATCCCCAATTGCTTCCAACTGTTCAATTTAAAGTTCTGCTTATAAGCATCATGACACCTTTCCTCTCAACTTGTATCTCGGTCTTGTATCTCAGTCTTCTCTTACTACCTTTCATTAATACCATTTCCTGTATGACTGATCCCAGTTTCCACACTACTTCCTTCTAGACAATTTTTCCCTCGGTCTCAGCCTTGCCCTTCTTTTATTTCAAGGCATTGTTCACAACAAAATTTATCTTTGCAAAGATACCAAAGAGATATGAGCATAGAGGGGAAGAAGGGAGATTGAGAAGATCTTTTTAATTTTGAAAAATGTTCTTTCTGCATGTAGGAAATTCGCTGATAAGCAAGAGCAGAACATTCTCCTGGTCCTTCTTAGAGGAAAATTCTGAATATTTCTGCTTATTTCTAAAAATAGAGGAAATAGTTATTTCTAGAAATGTAGCAACATGTTTATATGCTTTTTCTTAACATGTGGCAGGATACATGTGTGTGAGGGGCAAATGTAGCCCTCAGTTGTCCATGTGTAAAAAATAAACATTCTGTGTAGTTTTAAATTTACACAAAAATTGTGAAGATAGTACAGAGAATTCTTATATACCCTTCATCCAGTTTCCCTTATTGCTAGTATTTTATAATAGCGTTGTATGCTTGCTGAAACAAAGAAACTGATATTAGCACATGATTATTAAGTACATTCCAGACTTTATTTGATTTCACCAGTTTTTCTTAGTGTTCTCTTTCTATTCTGGGATCCAATTCAGGGTAGCATATTGCACTGAACTGTCATGTCTCCTTAGTCTCTTCTGGTGGATGAAAGCTCTTTAGTCTTCCCTTTTTTCTCCTGACTGTGGCAGTCTTGAAGAGTACTGTGAGTAGTACTCTTGGAGTTTTTTGAAAAATAGAACAGAGGTAAAATGCCCTTCATTGCTCTATCACAATTATATAATGTTTGTGACAGTCTTTTGATGAAGAGTTTATATTCTAATTAGAGGTAAGTTGAATGAGACTTAAAATAGGCACACTAGTTGCCAACAAATAGGCAGGACAACAGATGTATCAGCCTTGCTACTCACTGGCAGTTACATAAGTTAGGGCAATTCAGACATATGGGATCCACACCAGATAACTGAGGCTGTAAGTAATAACTCTAAGTAAAGAAAGAAAGCAAAAATGAAACTGTTTGTTGATCTGGTTTTCCTTTTTATTCCACTTCCCCTTGACACCCTCATTTGTGATAAAACAAATCTACAATGCCCTGAGATCATATGTAGAGTTAGAATGTCATGAGGACATAACAAAGAGAAGAAGAGGGAAAATTACTCTTAAATGAATTCCTCCCCCAAGTCCTAAAATCTTGGATTTTCAGGCAAGCTATTTTTCACATGAGGCAGGGAAAGTTGTTTATGCTGTGAAAATAAACAAGCCTAACATCTTAGTGCTTAAGACAACAAAGTCTATATGTCCATCACTGGTAAGCAGGGACCTAGACTGATGGAGGCTGTACCAGCCTAAGACTCATCATCTCAACATGGATTTGCAGGGTGTGCAGGGCAGAGGAAAGAATATTTCTGTCCTGCCATGTACCAAACAGTGAGAGTAAAACAAATGTAGCTCCTTAAAAAAAGCTCAGGGGAAGAGGAAAATCATTTTTACAACTACTTCCTCTTCTGGTTTCTGACGACACTGATGGTTCTGGTAACCAGAGGTTGGATTCCTCTCTGACTTATGGTTTTTATAGATATTAATCAAAGCTTCTGAAAGAGCTAAAGAGAGAGATTCAAGGAAGAATAGTAAAGACCAGAGTTCACCATGGTTCGATGGGGATGTATTTAGATTCACAGGATCTATTCCTGTGTTGTGCTATGTTAAGTCACCTCAGTCGTGTCCAAGGCTCCTCTGTCGTTCTATTTCTACACTGTTTTTTTTTTTTCTTTTTTTGGTGGCTGTCTTTGGAATCAGCCTGTGCAAGACAGACTGAGAATGAAGGTGGAAATAAAATGTGACTGTAGGGGGCCATAATGAGAATAGTACAAAACTAAAGACTATTCTGAGGAGACAGGGAAATGCATCTTATTTCTTTGTTTTCCAGCCAATGATCAACTTTGATGAGGACATAACAAAGAGAAGAAGAGGGAAAATTACTCTTAAATGAATTCCTCCCCCAAGTCCTAAAATCTTGGATTTTCAGGCAAGCTATTTTTCACATGAGGCAGGGAAAGTTGTTTATGCTGTGAAAATAAACAAGCCTAACATCTTAGTGCTTAAGACAACAAAGTCTATATGTCCATCACTGGTAAGCAGGGACCTAGACTGATGGAGGCTGTACCAGCCTAAGACTCATCATCTCAACATGGATTTGCAGGGTGTGCAGGGCAGAGGGAAGAGAGAAAGGATAATAATGTACCAGTGCTTTAGTCTCCTCTCATGTCAGGGCCCAAAGAAGTCATGTTGCTATGCCCAAGGAAGCAAGGAAATAAAATCTTCCCGTATGTCCGGGAAGGGGAAATACTGATGAGCACTGGAAATGTTCCTGGGCATTCATTTTATTTATCGTAAATCTCTTCTGTAACACCAACATAGGGGATCAGACTATGCCAACCCAAAATATACCACTTTGGCATAAGGATTTATTTTGATTCGGAGTCAAATGAGAATCAAGAGATGCAGAAGTGAAGTCTTTGTGAAACTTCTTTTATTTGTTTAAAAGAAGAAACTTCTGAAAAGTGAGGACTGCTATACATCTCCTCTCCTGGAGGAGTTTTATGACCATGAGGAAGACAGAAAATCAGTGCCAGGATGGATCTGCACATGTAAACCCTACTCCATTAGTGTCTCACATACATTTACCTTTTCACAGTTTGCCACCCTTGAAAGCCTAAGTTCGTTTTCCTTTGCCCTGTCAGTTCTCTGCAGATTTATTGGTTTTGTCTTAAGATGCTGTATCAGCCCAAGTTCTAACCACCTCTTTAAGTTACCCTTTATTGAGTTTTTGCCTGTGTAATGTCACTGCATGCATTAATATAATGTTTTCTCTTATTAACCTGTCTTTTGCCAGTCCGATTTTACAGGGTCCTGGCTGGAGAACCTAGGAGAGTAAAAGGAAACAGAATTTTTTCCTTCTCTATACCAATATCAAGTGGCCTCTACAAGAATATTTCTGTCTTTCCATGTACCAAACAGTGAGAGTAAAGCAAATGTAGCTCCTTAAAAAAAGCTCAGGAGAAGCGGAAAATCATTTTTATAACCCCTTCCTCTTCTGATATCTGATGACACTGATGGTTATGGTAATCAGAGGTTAGATTCCCCTCTGACTTATGGTTTTTATGGATATTAATCAAAGCTTCTGAAAGAGCTAAAGAGAGATATTCAAGGAAGAATAGTAAAGACCAGAGTTCACCATGGTTCGATGGGAATATGTTTAGATCCACAAGGATCTGTTCCTGTGCTGTGCTATGCTAAGTCACCTCAGACGTGTCTGAGTCTCCTCTGTCCATCTGTTTCTACACTGGGTTTTTTGGTGGCTGTCTTTGGAATCAGCCTGTGCAAGACAGACTGAGAATGAAGGTGGAAATAAAATGTGACTGTAGGGGGCCATAATGAGAATAGTACAAAATTAAGGACTATTCTGAGGAGACAGGGAAAGGCATCTTATTTCTTTGTTTTCCAGCCAATGATCAACTTTGAAATCCTGCTAAGAGTTCATGTGTTGGTAAGAGTAAAATGGAGATGGAGGGCAGGCTAGCTTTGGATGTTTATTTGTAAGGAACTTGGCCAGAGGACTAAAGACAGACCCACATGTACACACAAACACATACAGCCAAAATCTCTGAGCCAGAGAGTGAGTCAGTCAGTGTGAAAGCCATTCCCCTGGGGACATTGTTGGCTAACCCTTGGCTCACCCTCTTGTAGAATTTTGCCTGTCCCACTGACAGTTCTGAAGTGTGTATCTGTTAATATTCTGCTTGCTGTCCTGAGGATTCCTGAGGGAGGGTTTTCAAGCTATGTGGGCTCTCTGGGGAATTACTGGGCTAATTGGTCTACCTCCTGATCTCCACTTAATATGTAGTATTATTTGGTTCAGGTCAGTTAGCTTTGGTCCTTTAAGCAGCTGGACTTGGAGATCACCAGCTTTTTCATGGTTTTCAGCATGCAAGTAGCACAGATAGAAAGTCACTGACTTATAACTACTGACTAGTGGGTGTTGTCAGGATCAGGCTCATCTGCAGGACTCAGAGAAAGGCTTCTCAGGAAAAAGCTGGGAATGAGGACATGACATGAAGACCCCTTTCTCTCCTTCACTCTTTTTTGGCACTCCCAGGGGCTGCTTTACCTATGTGGACAATTCTCATTTCTTAGATCACAGTGTCCCACATTGCAGGCAGATTCTTAACCATCTGAACCACCAGGGAGGCCCATGAATGAATATACAAATCCCGAAAGTCCCAGATCTAAGTAGTGAATACAACCTATTCTGAAACCGTTTATTACTGACTTCCTATTAGAAGGTGTTACCTCTGGAAGAGTTGAAAAGTATACATTAGTCAGATATGAAGATATATTTTATAGCATCCTTATTTTCTATGATTAAGCTAATCAGTTTTCAAAAAGCCCCTGCTCCCCTGGAAAGCCAGGCAAGCCTGAGGAAGGGAACAAACATGGGCAGCACTTTTATTTGTTAGCATTGTCTCGGTTTCTCCTGATTTATAGTGTTTTTCAGCTGATTCAGTCTCTCTGGGGTAACTGTGTGCAGTTCCAGAGTTTCTGCCTGTCCCCCTATTCTGCCTAGGGTGGTGTCTAAGTATATGACAGGGTTTACGTAACTTCAGAGTTCTGGTCTCCTAAATCTGTATGAGCAAGTCTTTGTTTTCCTCTGTATTCCTCTGGACGGTCTGCTGGGGTCTTATCCCTTCTCCGCTCTCTGCTGCCAGGCAGCCAGCTTTGCGTGGGCTTCGGGGTATCATTGCCAAACCCACTCCTGAAGTTCATGCCCCAGCTGTTTGCCTGTGGTCTTGACATCCCCTGTGCACAGAAGCATCTTCATCTGAATCCCAGGCTTGATCTACAGCCATATCACCTTGATCCCTTCTGAATTCCAGGCCTGGACCAATGCCACACATCTATACCCACCCCCAGTTCCTCACCCTGAGATACTGGGGACTTCTGAATCCCTGCTTGCTACTCTCACCTGTTCAGAGTTTACGTGAAGATCTTCCCAACTCACCCTCTGCAGTGCTAGGACTTCCATATCATGCTGGAGTTGGTGCTGAGTGGTACACGAGGCTCCAACTAGACTTCCTATGCCTGGTGAAATAGGCACCAGCCCAAATGACCTTGGTTCTTCAGACTCATGCATATTTGTACTGTTGCACCAAGAACGCTGATATCTGAGTTCTTTGCTCCATCTTACCTTTACTCCCCTGCTCCAATATTTTACTTGCTACAAGTGATGGACTTTTTACCTCTTATCTGGTAGGAACTTCCTTGAATAAAAATATAAGAAGTGTTTGTTAAGTAAAAATCTGGCTGTTTAAAGGGAGTAACTGCAGAGATGGAGTTAGATTCCTTCCATTGCCCTGATAAGGAGAACCTATTATATCTAGTAACTTACCAAGAAATTCAGCTTTTGATTAATCTGTTTTCATCAAACTCTCCAATGCTGGCAATATTTATCATGCACTAAATCTACTGTGTTTGTGTATTTTTCTAGACCTGCCAACTAAGCCTGAGAACATTTCTTGCGTCTTCTACTATAGGAAAATTTTACTTGCACCTGGAGTCCAGAGAAAGAAGCTAATTTTATATCATACACAGTCAGGAGAACTTCGTGAGTATGGGAGCTTTTGTGCCATCAGGGAGAGTAAGGGGAGGAGGCAGAGGTTCCCACTTTAACTCATGACTCAAGTTGCTTAGACAGTAATAAGTTTTCTCACTTATAGCTTCTAGATAACCATTATTTGTATCCAGTGGCTGGGGGGATATCTTGGTTATTTGCAACCATACTGGTAGGATGTACAGCTAAGAGGGTAGGGAGGATGCTTGTATAACCATTACACAACATTACCCTGCTGGCCATTTTTGCACTCTGTGATAACCATGGAAAACCCTGAGATCCTTTCTGCTTTCAAAATTCCATGAGTCTATATTTCTGTATGTTCAGTCTCTGCTCCCTCACCCCTGCCTTTACAAACCCTTACAAAGTGGGCCCCCTCTTCTGGTCTCAGCCGGTTTCATCTCCCACATAGTCCCTAGAGGGCTATAGCAATACCCACCTACTTGATTCCTACCAATATGTGTAGTTGTTTTCATTAAGTTATAGCTTGATAGGGTTTAAGTTATCTATCTAAGAAAATAATTGTAATGAGTTTTCTGAAAACAGTGTACACCAGTGGCAAAAAATTCAATCTGAAAAATATGAAGAATATAAAAAATCACCCAAAATCCCACCACCAAAGGTAACAATTTTTAACATTTTGATGAAGGCCTTTCTAGACACCTTTAAGAAGAGTTATGTAAATATGTAAGTTCATATTAATGTAATCATTATTTATATAATATGCATCTTGCTTTTTTTCACCATTAATAGAGTACCAGGCATCTTTCCCTATCAATAAATATAGTTGTATTAAAAACCATCATTTTAAATTCTATTTATGTATCTACTGTAATTTATTTAACAAATTCTTTTTATTTTTTTCTTTTAAGAATAAGTTCTCAAGATTAGAATCTGAGATTTTCAAGAGCCTATTCATTATTTCTTACCATTAGGAAATATGACTGTAACTTTTGATGGACTTACAGGATTCCCAGGGAGGTCTCCATGGTAACTTTTCTCTCTCCTTGAAGGTGAGGAAGGAATCTGGAGAGAGAAACATCAGTTTCTGGACTATACAGTTCTCAAGAGAGACCCAGAGGAAGCTACCAAATACATGCTTAATATATTAAATATGCTTATGTTTCTAATCTGCTGTACTAAACTAATGCTGAATCATTTTTTCCTTCAAAGGTGTTATTTACATGAAAATGATACTTGTAATTCTACAAGTGAAAATGGTTCTTCATGCTCTTTTTATTCAAGATTAACACCACCAGATATTTACATTATTCAAGTGGAGGCTCAAAATGCATACGGTATAATTAAATCTGATATAACATATTGGGACTTAAATACCATAAGTAAGTGTCACTTTATATTCTTATGTACTTTTTTAAATTAAAATATGCCCTCTTCTTTTTTTAAAAAGAGATATCTGTGAACTAAAAAGTAGATTCACAGCTCAAGCATATAGTAGGTGTATGTTATGGATATATGGAAAATTTTTCTTCTTTTGAAGAAGGAAAAGAGAGGGAGGGTCAGAGGGAAGATGAAAGGAAGGAAGGAGGGAACTGACCAAAAAAAGAAAAAAAGAATGAGAAGAAACATTTTGCTGGTCCTTGATTTTCTCTTGCAGTTTGTACCATAAATTATATTAGAAGAAACTGTGTTTCTCCTTCAAAACATTATTGCTCCCGTAGGAGAAAGTAAAACTCTTATTTTAAAAAAATATCTCACTGATTGTTACCTTGTAAAATCTTTTTCAAAGAGTAATTTTTACTATTTAATTTTAAAATAACATCATTTGTGAGATATAATTCACATGTGATAAGATTCACCTTTTTTGTTAATTTATTTATTTTTAACTGGAGGATAATTGCTTTACAATAGTGTGTTGGTTTTTGCCATACCTCAACACGAATCAGCCATAGGTATACATATGTCCCCTCCCTCTTGAACCTCCATCCCATCTCCCACCCCAAAGATTCACCGTTCAAAAATGACAATTCATCAGTTTTTTAAAAATCGTATTCACAATGTTATACAAATATCATCAGGATCTAGTTCCAGAAACTTTTCATCACCCCTCAAAGAAACTTCATGCCCATTAGCAGAAATCCTTAATTCCACCTTCCCCTTGGTCTCTGGCAGTCACTAATCTATTTTTCTGCCTTTATGGATTTACTTATTTTTGAAAATTCATATAAATGTAATGATACAGTATAGTCCTTGTATCTTATTTCTTTCACAGCATAATGTTTTAAAGGTTCAATCCATCTTGTAGCATTTATTCTTTTTTATAGCTGAATAATAATCCATCATAGGGATATATCACATTATGTTTAACCACACGCTGGTTGATAAGACGTTTGAGTTGTTTCCACTTTTTGGTTATGAATGCTGCAATTACAAATATTTGTGTACAAATTTTTGTGTAGATGTAGGCTTCAATTCTCTTAGATATATACATAATGAAATTGCTGGGTCATATAACTCAGTCTTTAACTTTTTGAGGAACTGCCAAATTTTACCAAAATGGCTGTATCATTTCACATTCCCACCAGCAATTTATAAAGTTACTAGCTTCTCCATATCCTCGCCAACACTAGTTATTGCACTTTTTTTTATCATAACCATCCTAGTGGGTATTAGGGGACTTCCCCGAAGGGTATTACATCATACCTCACTGTTGTGATTTGCACTTACCAAATAATTAATGATATTGAGCATCTTTTCATGTGCTAATTGGCCATTTGTACATCTTCTCTGGAAAAATGTTAATCCATGTATTTGCTGACTTTACAATTAAGTTGTCTTTTTAGTGTTCGATTTTAAGAGCTCTTGTTGCAAGGATCTACTCGGCAGCATGTGAGATCTTAGTTCCCCACTAGGGATCAGCCTGAGCCCCTGCAGTGGGAGAGTGAGGCTTAATCACTGGGCTGCCAGAGAAGTTCGAGTTCTTTATATATTCTGGGTATCAGCTCCTTATAAGATATGTTTTGCACATATTTTCTTTCTTCCTGTGGGTTACGTTTTCAATTTCTTAATGATGTCCTTTGAAACTAAAACATAATTTAATTTTGATGATTTTATTATAATTTATCTATTTTTTCCTTTATTGCTTGTGCTCAGGAGTCAGAACTAATAAACTAGTGCCAAACCTGAGGTCACAAAGATTTCTACTCTGTTTTCTTTTAAAGACTATAGTTTTAGCTCTTACATTTAGTTCTATGATCCTTTCTGAGTTAATTTTTAAGCAAAATTAACAAACTTTGTGTTCCTGAAATAAATCTCACATGGTTGTAAGTGTATAATGCTTTCTATATGTTGCTAAATTTGGATTGATAGTTTTTTTGTTGAGGACTTTTCCTTCTATCTTCATAGGGGATATTGGTCTGTTTCTTTCTTTTCTTGTGATGTATTTGTCTGTTTTTGGCATCATGGAAATACTGGCCTAATAGAATGAGTTGGAAAGTGTTTCCTGGTCCTGTTTTTTGAAAAAGTTACAGGGATCAAGACCATCCGCAAGAAAAAGAAATGCAAAAGAGCAAAATGGCTGTCTGAGGAGGCCTTACAAATAGCTGTGTATAGAAGAGAAGTGAAAAGCAAAGGAGAAAAGGAAAGATATACCCATTTGAATGCAGAGTTCCAAAGAACAGCAAGGAGAGATAAGAAAGCCTTTCTCAGTGATCAATGCAAAGAAATATAGGAAAACAATAGAATGGGAAAGTCTAGAGATCTCTTCAATAAAATTAGAGATACAAAGGGGACATTTCAGGCAAAGATGGGCACAATAAAGGCCAGAAATGGTATGGACCTAACAGAAGCAGAAGATATTAAGAAGAGGTGGCAAGAATACACAGAAGAAATGTACAAAAAATATCTTCACGACCCAGATAATCATGATGGTGTAATCACTCACCTAGAGCCAGACATCCTGGAATGTGAAGTCAAGTGGGCCTTAGGAAGCATCACTATGAACAAAGCTAGTGGAGGTGATGGAATTCCAGTTGAGCTATTTCAAATCCTGAAAGATGATGCTGTGAAAGTGCTGCACTCAATATGCCAGCAAATTTGGAAAACTCAGCAGTGGCCACAGGACTGGAAAAGGTCAGTTTTCATTCCAATCCCAAAGAAAGGCAATGCCAAAGAATGCTCAAACTACCGCACAATTGCACTCATCTCACACGCTAGTAAAGTAATGCTCAAAATTCTCCAAGCCAGGCTTCAGCAATACGTGAACCGTGAACTTCCAGATGTTCAAGCTGGTTTTAGAAAAGGCAGAGGAACCAGAGATCAAATTGCCAACATCCGCTGGATCATCGAAAAAGCAAGAGAGTTCCAGAAAAACATCTATTTCTGCTTTATTGACTATGCCAAAGCCTTTGACTGTGTGGATCACAATAAACTGTGGAAAATTCTGAAAGAGATGGGAATACCAGACCACCTGACCTGCCTCTTGAGAAACCTGTATGCAGGTCAGGAAGCAACAGTTAGAACTGGACATGGAACAACAGACTGGTTCCAAATAGGAAAAGGAGTACGTCAAGGCTGTATATTGTCACCCTGCTTATTTAACTTATATGCAGAGTACATCATGAGAAACGCTGGGCTGGAAGAAGCACAAGCTGGAATCAAGATTGCCGGGAGAAATATCAATAACCTCAGATATGCAGATGACACCACCCTTATGGCAGAAAGTGAAGAGGAACTAAAAAGCCTCTTGATGAAAGTGAAAGAGGAGAGTGAAAAAGTTGGCTTAAAGCTCAACATTCAGAAAACTAAGATCATGGCATCTGGTCCCATCACCTCATGGGAAATAGATGGGGAGACAGTGGAAACAGTGTCAGACTTTATTTTTTTGGGCTCCAAAATCACTGCAGATGGTGACTGCAGCCATGAAATTAAAAGACACTTGCTCCTTGGAAGGAAAGTTATGACCAGCCTAGACAGCATATTAAAAAGCAGAGCCATTACTTTGCAACAAAGGTCCATCTAGTCAAGGCTATGGTTTTTCCAGTGGTCATGTATGGATGTGAGAGTTGGACTATAAAGAAAGTTGAGTGCAGAAGAATTGATGCTTTTGAACTGTGGTGTTGGAGAAGACTCTTGAGAGTCCCTTGGACTGCAAGGAGATCCAACCAGTCCATCCTAAAGGAGATCAGTCCTGGGTGTTCATTGGAAGGACTGATGTTGAAGCTGAAACTCCGATACTTTGGCCACCTGATGAGAAGAGCTGATTCATTTGAAAAGACCCTCATGCTGGGAAAGATTGAGGGCAGGAGGAGAAGGGGACGACAGAGGCTGAGATGGTTGGATGGCATCACCCACTCAATGGACACGAGTTTGGGCAAACTCCAGGAGTTGGTGATGGACAGGGAGGCCTGGCGTCCCATGGTTCATGGGATCGCAAAGAGTCGGACACAACTGAGTGACCGATCTGAATTGAACTGAACTGAAAGATCAGTGGTAATTTGTCTTTAAACCTCTGGTACATCTCAGCAGTGTAGGTATCTGGGCCTCAGATTTTCTTTTTGTGAAGTGTTTTGACTTGGGTTTCTTTCAAAAACATTTTTAGGAACTCCGTTTGGAAGGCTTACATCACACTACTAACATTGGCTCTACCTCTTGACAATGGACCTGACAGGGGCAAGGTTTTTAACTTCTTAAACACAAACATTTATTTTATTATTATCTTTATTATCTTTATTCTTAAAATGAACATATATTACTTTAGCAATAATGTAAATTGATGGAAAACAGTATGAAAGTTCAAAAAAAAATTAAAACTACAACTACCATGTTAAAAATACAACTACCAAGTTAAAAATACAACTACCAGCAATTCCAATTCTGGTATTATCTAAATAGGATCTTATTAGGATCTTAACGAAATACTTGCATTTCCATGTTCATTGCAATATTATTTACAATAGCCAAGATATAGAAACAGCCTAAATGCCCACCAACAGAGTCATGAAGAAAGAAATTGTGCTATATATATACACTGCAATTACTGTAGCTATTTTGGAAAGCAAAATGACATTTTGTAGAAAGTAGCCCTAAAAATGTTTATGTTGTTGTTGTTTGTTGTTTAGTCACTAAGTCATGTCCACCTTGCAACCCCTGGACTGTAGCCCGCCAGGCTCCTCTGTCCATGGGATTCTCCAGGCAAGAATGCTGGAGTGGGTTGCCCTTTCCTTCTGCAAGGGATCTTCCCAACCTAGGGATCAAACCCACATCTGCACTGGCAGGTGGGTTCTTTACCACTGAACCACCTGGGAAGCCCCAAAATGTTTATACCTTTTAATTTAATCCTTCTGTCCTAGGGGATCTAAGGAAGCCATGAGAGATGTGGACAAAGATACAACTATTATCCACTTACGTGTTCACTTAACAAATATCTGTAATTTGTTAAGTGCCAAGTGTTAATCCAAGGCCTTGTGATCAAGTCTCAGCTTCTGTTCTCAGGGGGGCTTTAAAATGAGAAATTGGAAACACTATGTACACTAATAGAGAAAGTGTCAAATTCTATTCCTCTGTAAGAGAATATTATGAAGCTTTGAATACATGTTTTGAAAAATTTTAATGCAAAGGGATGTTTGCTGATTTCATAATGTTTTTCAAAAAGACAAAAGATTTATTTAGCATAACATCAATTTTTAAAAAAAATACAAATTCTTGTATAGGAAAAAGCCTGGAAATACACCAAAATGCTAATAAGGATGATCTCTGGTTGATGGCAAGAAGGACATGGTAACCCACTGCAGTATTCTTGCCTGGGGAATCCCATGGACAGAGGAGCCTGGCGGGCTATAGTCCATGGGATCGCAAAGAATCTGACATGACTGAAACAACTTAGCACACATGCCGGTTGATAGAATTATGGTTGACCACGTTTTTCTTTGTAGTTTTTCTATATTTAAAAAATTTGGGGAGGACTTCCCTGATGGTCCAGTGGTCAAGACTCTGCCTTCCAATGCAGGGAGCGTTGGTTCGATCCCTGACAGGGAACTAGATCCTACAAGCTACAACTATGAGTTCTCATGCTGCAACTCTGCAACTTAGACCTGGCACAACCAAATAAATACATTCAAATAAATAATTTTTGAAATGAGCCTATGTTACTTTTATAACCCCCCCCAACACACACACGCTTTTTCAAGGAGAGATTTAGAGTGACAATGTCTGTAGTGTTCAGGGGAGATGAGAAGTGCTTTCTACTGGGCACTTCTTCATCCTGGCGGTCAAAGAAAGAGAGATGGGGAGAATAGACAAGAGGAGCAACCCATTCTCTGGTCATGGAGTTTCTTTTTACCTCCCTTCTGTTTGACAAAGGATCTCAACCAGTCAGTAAAAGGCTGATTTGTAAAAAAAAAAGAAAAAAAAAAATCTCAGAAATATAGCCTTTCCTCACTGGACATTCTCTTCTGAAGGAGTGGGAGGTGGCAACATTCTTTTTGCCCTGCTTTCCTAAAGCCTTGTGCATACACTAAATCACGAAATATGCACTATCATTTCCTTTGCAATTCTGGGTGGATGTTATTAGCACTTTCTGGTCTTTGTGCAAATACAAGAACTGTATGATTTTTATTTTCAGCTAAAATCGAGCCTCCTAAGATTTCCAGTGTAAAACCAGTTTTGGGCCTCAAAAAAATGGTTCAAATAAAATGGACACAGCCTGTGTTGGCACCTAAGTCATCTACTTTAAATTATACACTTCGATTCAGAGCAGTAAATAGTACCCACTGGGTAAGTTAAGCCATTATAATGTTTCTCAGAGAATTATTGATGTTTGTTGATCTGGAATCATTATTTTTCTATTTTCTACATTTAAAATAGAAGATAGACAATAGTGAATACTTTTCTCCCCAGTTTCCCATTTGGGCCTTTTAGACTGGAAAAGTGTTTTACTATATGCATCTTGCATTCTGAACATAGGGGCATACAAAAAAGTGAGAAATTTATTTTTGCATTTCATTCTGTTTTGTGTCTAGCTACGTTGGTTCTTGAGAGTCTATAGCTTAGGAATTTCCTTTTAAATTGTTCTAAACTTTGTGATCTATAACACATATATAGAAAAGTGAACAAAATATAAATATTGCATTTAACAAATTATTAAGTCAGTGCGCATGTTAAAACCACTGATGTAAAAAATAACATGCGATAGCCCCCTGCCTACCTTTTTCTGATGACACACCCCTCCTGCCTTTAGAACTAATGATTATCTTAATTTTCATGGTAATTTCTTCTTTGCTTTTTATTATGGTATTATCTTGTACCTGCATCCCTAAACAATGTAGTTTGAGATGGTATATAAATGGAATCCATATACTTTGTATTTTCTTTATGTTTGACTCCTCTCTCTCAATATTGTGTTTCTAAGATCCATTCATGTTTTACAGTGCTGGTGTTTATACATTTTTATTCCAATGTAGTCTTCTGTTGCATGTACACAATGGAATCATGGCTTTAATTTGCATTTACCTGACTTTTAATGAGATTGTATGTCTTTTCATGTATTTGTTGGTCACTTGGAATCCTTCTTTGTGAAGTATTGATTTAAGCCTTTCGCACACTTTTTTTCTGTTGGAAGATCTGATTTTTTAATTGACTTATAGGAGTTACTTACATATTCTGTTTATGGGTCTTTTATTTTTTATGTGTCTTGTAAACATCTCTCACTATGCAGCTTACCTTTTCACTTTCTTAATGGTAAATTTAGAGGAACAGAACTTCTTAATATGAATACTGTCAAATTTTATCAAGCTTTTCCTTTATATTTATTGTCTTTTGCATCCTGAGAAATATTTTCTTACCTCAAAATTCAGAAATAATTATCATATTTCCATAATGCAGTCTGATATTATATCAACTTTCTATTTCTAACCAACTTACATTATTGACTCTTAGCTTCCAGCCAATTAAATCATTTAAATCTTTAAGACTTCCCCCCCAACACACAAAAGATTTTCTAGTAAGAACATTTCCACTGTCTTATAACTTATCCCTTTTTAACCTAAAATGCTGATGTTTTATTTATTCCTATTGAATTTCTTCAGGTTGGTCTTATCTATCATTTTGGCCTATTAAGAATCTTTATTCTATTACCCAAAGCTTGTAGTTAATTTTCTACTTTATAACTTTTCAATAACCTTAGAGTTAACTTTTTACTTTCTAATTTTTTTTAATATCTTCAGATTTGATAACATTTTTATACCTTCATCTAATCATTGATCAAAAAGAATGACTACATCGGAGCCCATCCAAAGACATCAGCCTCTCCTTTGTGCTAAATGAAGCTCATTTACTCAAGCTTCTTTGAATATAGAAGACCACCACTATCATTCAGCCTGCTTTTTTCATCTGGGCCATGAGGCCATCACTAGACTTTTTCCTTTATTGAAGTCATGGTACTATATCTATTGCATCCTCCACTAGACTAGAATTCTTGCAGAAAAGAAAACTGGTTAAGTTTCACTTGTCTTATATTCAAGTCAAGAGAAATAATGAGTTCACTCTTCCTCTCAGCTTCTTTTCTGTGCCAACTCTGGATCCATTCTCCTAGAACTGACTATATGAACATAAGGCTCACTGATTGGTAGTTTCTGGAACCCAGAAAGGAACCCCTACGTAGGGCACTCCCCAGCACAACATAAGCTCATCATCATACCACATAACATGGGCTCAGTGAATCTGAGGAACTTCTGTGTGATCTACTGTCTAGCAACGCTTGGTTTCTTTTGTCTGATCCCAGAGTCCCATGACTACTTTACAAAATCCAACAAGAAAAAGAAGCCAGGAGCTATATTCCTCTGGAAAATTACTAAACCGTTTACAATACTAAGTGAGGGCAGCACATGCAAACTACTTCAATCCCTAGCATCCTGTACCCCACCTCTTTGAAAAACTTACCTGCATCTGTACTCATCTTTGCCTCCTTCCTTCCAACCCCTTGGAAGGAAGAGGTCCTTCCTCCTGCTAACCTGGAGAAAGTGGGAAGGAGAGTGGAATGTACAACCAGAATCTCTCTCCTTTCAGTTCTCAAACACAACCAAGTCTAATCAGTTCTAAATCCAACTAAACCAATCCAGTCTTCTCTGGATGGTTCTCATCCCACTGTCAATGCAAAAAGGTCTAAATTCTTAACCCTCCAAGGCCTGGCCCCTATCAACCCCTCCAAACTCACCTTCCATCTTGCTCTTGCTTCTCTAGTAGTTCTGAATTGCGTTTCCCTTGTGTCATGTCATTTCATTATTCTGTGCTTCTGCCTAGAACAGTTCTCTGCTTTGTACCTCTCCTCTTGGCCTAAACCTTGCTAGAGCCGCTCATCTCTCAGAACTCTGGTCTGACATATTTTCTTCTGGGAGTCTGAGATAGGTACTCCTCCTCTGTCATTGCACTTAACATAGTCACTTAAGCTCATCTCTCCCCATATTTAATGACAAGTTCCTCAAACACAGAGACCTTGATTTTCATCTTAGTATTCTCATTGCCTGCCACATGTGCTCAATAAATGTTTAATTAAACTAAACCACATAAAAACCAATTCCAAAATCCCAATATGTTCATATAACAAGACTCATATTTGTGTGATGCTAATATATGGGCTTGCTTCCCAGGTGGCTCAATGGTAAAGAATCCTACTTGCCAGTGCAGGAACTGCAGGAGACTTGTTTCAATTCCTGGGTTGGAAAGATCCCCTGGAGGAGGAAATGGCAACCCACTCCAATATTCTTGCTGTGATAATCCCATGGACAGAGGAGTTTGGTGGACTACAGTCCATGGGATTGCAAAGAGTCAAATATGACTGAGTGACTGAGCACCCATGCACACAATATATGGGTTACAGAGTGCTTTTTTTATACTGCAAGCTACTTAATCCTTGCAAATATCCTATAAATTGTTGTTGTTTAGTTAATAAGTTGTGTCTGACTCTTTGCAATCCCATGGACCATAGTCTGCTCGGCTTCTCTTTCCATGGGATTTCCCAGGCAAGAATGTTGTTGTTCATTCGTTCTGTCGTGCCCGACTCTCTCCAACCCCATGCCAGGGTTCCTGGTTCTTCACCATCTCCCAGAGTTTGCTCAAACACATGTCCATCGAGTTGGTGATGCCATCCAACCATCTCATCCCCTGTCACCCCTTCTCCTCTTGTCCTCAGTCTTTCCCAGCATCAGGATTTTTTCCAATGAGTAGGCTTTTCACATTAGGTGGCCAAAGTACTGGAGCTTCAGCTTCAGTATCAGTCCTTCCAATGAATATTCAGGGTTGATTTTCTTTCAGATTGACTGGTTTGATCTCCCTGCTGTCCAAGGAACTCTCAAGAGTCTTCTCTAGCACCACAGTTCAAAAGCATCAATTCTTCAGTGCTCAGCCTTCTTTATGGTCCAATTCTCACATCCATATGTGACTACTGGGAAAACATAAGCAAGAATACTAGCGTGGTTTGCCAATTCCTTCTCCAGGAGATCTTCCCAACCCAGGGATTGAAACTGTGTCTCCTCCATTGGGAGGTTGATTCTTTACCACTGAGCCACTTGGGAAACCCCTCCTATAAATAAGATATCTCTATTCTTCTCATTGTTGTTGTTGTTTAGTCAGTAAGTTGTGTCCAACTCTTTGTGACCCCATGGACTGTAGACCACCAGGCTCCTCCTCCTTGGGATTTCCCAGGCAAGAATACTGGAATGAGTTGCTATTTCCTTCTTCTGGGGATCTTCCTGACACAAGAATCAAACCCACATCTCCTGCATTTGCAGGTGAATTCTTTACCACTGAGTCACCAGGGAAGCCCCATTGTTATTACAGATTAGTAAATTGCAATGCATTGGAGAAGGAAATGGCAACCCACTCCAGTATTCTTGCCTGGAGGATCCCAGGGACGGGGAGCCTGGTGGGCTGCCATCTATGGGGTCGCACAGAGTCGGACATGACTGAAGTGACTTAGCAGTAGCAGTAGCAAATTGCAATGTAGAGCACTTTGGTCATCTGTCCAAGATTTGTAGGTTACAGAGTTGAGCTCAGGTTTTGTGACGCCAAGTTCAGTCATTCATTTGACCATACTTTAGCCTCCAAACCACCTTCCCATGGCTGTAGTGTAAAGGGTTTCTACTTTTATAAAAGGGAACCATGTGAACACTCTACCAAAGGATTTCAATACTGTTTTAAGAATTTGATTTAGGCTCTGCTCCAAAATTTCTGACTCATCTCTTAAGATATAAACACTTGGGATAAGCTAGGACTTGGCACAAAATATAGGTTGCTAGAAACAAAACTGGTGGTTAATTACTGTTTTGGTAGGAGTCCATTGCTTGTTCTGAGTTTAGGGATTTTTAGATTTAAGCCTGTATATGGAGGATTAATTGGTCTTGGATCCAGTGAGGACCAAAGCCATATAGCCTGGAAAAAAGCCACAGTAAAGAAGCCTTAGAGGAGCACTCTTTGGAACTTTAATTGCATTTTTTTACTGCCCTGAGGCTGGGTCTGGGAAGAACAGGTTTGCACACGTACAATAAAGAGAGCTTTCTAATTGTGAGGAGACCCAACAAGAGACCAAGCATATGCTGAGGGTACTAGCAAAACAGGAGGAAAATTTTGAGAAATTAAAAATAGAAGAAGAATATTATGTATTTTAAAAAGTATGAAAAGTAAAATAGAATGTCATTAGACTTCCTTACATGTGTTTTATGGATTAATATTGTTTTTATTTTGATTTACGCGTGGAGAGTACCATGTGGTTGACCTTCTCTCAAAGGTCTTAATCTGGTTTTAACTGAGCCCCATAACTGAGGTCGGTTGGGGAGGCTGCTTCCCCAGAGATGACGAATTGTCCCAAGATATGTTCCCAACAGCCCTGTTCTACCACTGCAACGTCTCCAGGGCCTTTTGCAGGAAGGTGCTCAGGGAACCTGGGGTTCAGCAGCAAAATTGCCCTCAGGCCTGGATGCTGCTTCCTTGCTCTGATGCCGTCTCACTAGACTGGGAGTTCAGAACCGTCCATCTGCAGCTGGGATGCTCAGATGTTGGCCACGTAGACACATCCTGATTTTGCCCCAATTTCCTTTAGGCCCAGCACCTATAATTGTGTACCTATTTTCACAGTTGTTGTTGTACACATAAGTGATATCAGGACTTCCTATTCTTGCCAATAGGATACTGAGATCTTTAGCAACTTGACTGATCACCCAAAGACCAATCGTTTGAAACGGGAAGTTTGAATCAAAGGAAAGAGTCTGGGCGTGAGGGGATCTGTGTGCTGCTCCTAGTTCTGCTGACTGTAACTGCTGAGGCAGTCCATAGTCACTTAACTTGTCTGGGTTTTGTTCACATGAGTCTGAACTTAATGCTGTCAAGGTGTCTTTTACATACTGTTCCTTGAGATCTTATCTCGAGGTATTGTTGTCATCTCCAGAAATTAAACTGAGGCCTATATTGGGTGCCAGGACTCCATCCACCCTGCATCTTCCAGGACAGCAAGATTCACTCACATCCAGCCCAGAGGCAGGAATATCTACCTCACAAGCTTAGAAACAAGAAAGGGGATGTGTGGTGGTTCTTGGGGCAACCCCTCTATTTGATGCTAACAGTCTGCAAGCATGTGTAGAAGTTTATTTATGAAAATTTAAAAAATTGAAATATAATGCTACTAGTTCAGAAAGGTAAGAGAGGGTTGGTGAGTAAAGAAGAAACATGGAAAGATAACATGTGGTCTCGCATCCGGCTTAAGGCTGTCTTTGTCTTTTAGATGGAAGTCAACTTCACCAAATGCTGTGTGAATGAAGAAGAAGCATATAACCTCACAGGGCTGCAGGCTTTTACAGAGTACGTTGTGGCTCTGCAATGTGTGGCTCACAAGTCAAGGTTCTGGAGTGGCTGGAGTCAAGAAAAAATGGGAATAACTATGGAAGAAGGCAAGTTGGTCCCTTGTGGTTTATTTTTTGTCTGCTCTGGTTTAGGGCAAACTGAACTGAGCCCTTGTGGATTTTGTCAAGTACTTTGCCATACTTGGCAATGATGGAATCCCACAATCCCAGAGCCAGAGAGTCTGTACAGTGCGCCTCCACAGGGCATGCATGGCAAATGCCTGAGCATACAGGATAAGCTGGCCTTCCCCTGATGATGTTAGTGACATTAGCAGGTTTTTGCCTTGAAGGCAAAGGACCATATCTTGAATACTTGTATAAAGTTCTTATACTATGCTTGAAGTAGTATAATATTATTTAAAGATGTCCTATGATAAATTAAAGATTGATGTTGCAAACCCTGAGCTACTGCTAAAAAATAAAGGTGTAACTAATGAGAAAAAAGGTCACATCTTTAATTCTAGTGAAGGAAGGAAGGAGAAGAGGATTGCACCTTGATTGAATGGTTACCATGAGTCAGGAATGGTAATTAAGAACACTATTGGGTTGGCCAAAATGTTCCTTTGAGTTTTTTATAACAACTTACAGAAAAACTGGAGTGAACGTTTTGGCCAACCTAATCTGTGGGCTTGATATAAAATCCAGCCTGGCTGTGGAGTAACTTTTGGCAAGATACCCACCCTCTAAGATTCAGTCTCCTTACTAATTTTTCCCCTTTTCCATAATGAACCATAATTTATAAAATTGAGTTAATAGTAGTACCTACTTTTTAGTATTATTTTAAAGATTAAATGAAATAATTGTGTTTAGCCCATAATCAACATTCAGTAATTGACAGATTTCCTATTAGTGTTATTAATCCTCCTAAGAGCCCTATAAAATATGTAGAATCACCTGCATTTGCAAGTGAGATAGCTGAGATGTTAATTTGTTCATTGTCACTCAGCATGTTACCATGCTCTATAAATCAAGAGCCTTGCCCAGAGCCTGACCCCAGTAGACGTTCAAGAAGTGTCTGATGAATGTGTTCGTTTCCTGTGGCCACTGGAACAAAGTGTGGGTGTATGTGTGCGCTCAGCTGCTCAGTCATATCTGTCGGTCATATCTGACTCTTTGTGACCCCATGGACTATAGCGTGACATTCTCTTCTGTCCACGTAATTTTCCAGGTGAGAATACTGGAGCAGGTTACCATTTCCTACTCCAGGGGATCTTCCCAACCCAGAGACCCAACTCCCCTCTCTTGTGTCGCCTGCAATGGCAGGGGGATTCTTTGCCACTGTGCCACCTGGGAAGCCCGCAGCTTTTTTTTCTTTCCTAGTTCTAGAATTCAAAGGTCCAAAATCAGTTTCATTGGACTAAAGTCAAAGTGTTGGCACAGTTGGGGATTTTGAAGGGAGAATATATTTTCTTGCCTTTTCTATCTTCTAGTAGCTGTCTCTATTCCTTGGTTTGTGGCCCCTTCCTATGAAGAAAGCATATTACTCCAGTCTCTGCTTCTGTCATCACATTACCTTTTTCTCCTCTTCCGTGTCAAATCTGTCTGCTTCCTTCTTATAATGACCATTGTGATAACATTTAGGGCCCACTGGGATAATCCAAGATAATCTCCCCATCTCAAGATCCTAACCCAATCACATGTACAAAGTCCCTTTGGCCATAAAAGGTAATGTTTATAGGTGATAAGAGATTTGTACTTAGATTTTGGGGGTTCATTTTTCAACCTAATACAGTGAATGAATGACTAATTAAATGAATACTTATCAAAGGCCACACATCTTCTGAAATATGTGAGAGAAACAGAAAAATGCTGATCATTCTAACCTTCTGAGGTTTTAACTTTGTTTATGAGACATGTAAGTTCTAGACCATGAATCTCCCCTCACCCCACCCCAGGCATGATTTCAGGCCCTCTTTAATCAATCTTACAACAAGTCCCTCACTGATCTTACACAACATGTGGGGTTAGCTCCTGTGTTCTCTGGTCTATATGGCAAAAGTGTATTCCCCTGGATCCTGGTTGAGTTTCCCATGAGACCCAAGTTAGTGTTAACAGATATTTGGCATGTTTGCCCATATGATCATATGCCTGGGAATAATCAGGTGCCTTCTGAATTTTGTATCTCCCACTGGAGATGTTCATACTTAGTCTGGACTACTCATTGGTGGATGTAGTTACAACAAAGATTCATGTGACACACACAGAGGATTGGGCTGGATGGCCTCTGAAGTCCCTTCTTACTCTAAGATTCTATTCACCTATGGCATTCAGGCATCCAGGCTTCCATGCTCAACTGTAAGAATACAGGAAAAAGTAACACAAAATTTCTAATCCCTATGTGTTTATATGCTTAGAACAGTGCCTTACAAATGGTAAGTGCTATATAAATTTTAAATAAATAAAAATACATGCATGATTCAAACAAAACTAGTCAAGTTGTGGACCTAGTGTGAATTTTTGATTAAAATTATATGCAGTATTTGGGAACACTGTATAGACATCATCTTAAATAATCCTCAGATGGTAAAGTGTCTGCCTACAATGCAGGAGACCTGGGTTCTATGCCTGGGTCGGGAAGATCCCCTGGAGAAGGAAATGGCAACCCACTCCAGTACTCTTGCCTGGAAAATCCCATGGACAGAGGAGCCTGGTAGGCTACAGTCCATGGGGTTGCCAAGATTCGGACATGACTGAACAACTTCACTTTCACTTTCAAAACAAATATGCTGCTGCTGCTGCTAAGTCACTTCAGTTGTGTCCGACTCTGTGCAGCCCCATAGACGACAGCCCACCAGGCTCCTCCGTCCCTGGGATTCTCCAGGCAAGAACACTGGAGTGGGTTGCCATTTCCTTCTCCCAAAACAAATATACTAGTTTACAAATACCAAACAGCACTTAAATTGTACAATATAAAATGACCCAATGGTTATAATCTGTTGGAGTGCTCAGTTATTGCTGTCTGTGGCTTGACTGACCCCTATCTTTTAAAATGAACGAAATGCAAGCAATAACTTTGTGCAAGTTGTCCTCTCCCTCTGCTATACCTTTCAGCAGGCAATCTGGGAGAGTGAGTTCTACCCTGGGTTTGATCTTGTTTTGTACAGTTCTACTCCCTGTAGCTGTCATTCTTCTTAGAGACCTAACATCGTTATGGTTCACTGTCTTAAGTTAATCACAGTCCAACCACTTGCTAATGTCAATTTCATACACTTGTTTCACCACTAGAAATGAGATTTACCATTTCAACTGATTTATTATTTCAGCTTGCTTGTCTAAGATTGACTACCAAAACATTAGATGCTAGTGTCCTCTGTGCCCTGTGCTAGTTAAATAAAATGAACATCTGTCAACATTACCACTGGACAATTTTTACTTTTCTTAATTTTTTCAGAATCCCAGAAGAAACTAATGAAACTGTACCCACCCCTGGTAAATCCTAATTTATCCTTTTCTAATTTATAAAGTGTTTCCCTGTTTCACAATGAAATGCCAGCTGTTTTATACACACCACCTCAAACCTTTTCTAATGTGAAAATCTCTGTTTTATGTTGAATACGAAATACTCTTCCCTTTTGCATTTCAATATATTGATTATTAGGATTATTTACTCACATTTAAGCATATAAATATATACTACATGAAACATGCATACTACATGAAACAGCGATTCGTTAGAAAAGACCCTGACACTGGGGAAGATTTAAGGCAAAAGGAGAAGAGGGCAGCAGGGGATGAGATGGCTGGATCACATCATCAACTCAATGGACATGAACTTGGCCACACCTCGGGAGACAGTGAGGGACAGGGAGGCCGGGAGTGCTGCAATCCTTTGGATTGCAAAGAGTCAGGCATGACTTAGTAATTGAACAGCAACAGGAAACATATAATATTCAATTCCTGGCGCCATTACTTAAAAGTTATATTGGGCAATTTTCTCACTTCTTAGCACCTCAGAGGAGGAAATAGTAATATTGATGTACCCAATTATAGGCCTATGGAGGTTAGATGAGATGATTCAGGTAAAATGCTTAGTATGTGACACTTGCTAAAAGTGAGCGATTCTTAGTGTTAGTCTTCAGCAAAGGCAGCAGAATGTGTCTAAAGTGCTGATTGGTGGTGACTGGGTATTTCCAGATTGTAACTGGAACAACAGAGCAGCAAATTCTTACTACATCTGTCCAAACAGTTGATGCCTTGGAATATGTAAACTCCAATATGTAACTGGAGAAGGAAATGGCAACCCACTCCAATATTCCTTGCCTGGAGAATCCCATGGACAAAAGAACCTGGAGGGCTACAGTCCACGGGGTTGCAAGAGTTGGACATGACTTAGCGACTAAACCACCACCACCAATATGTAAATATTTTGGCAAATTTGTAAAAGCTTAGTATTATTCTTTCACAAATACAGATTTATTGCTTTTCCCCATTTGGTTAAGCTGGATTATTAATTTATTCATTATCAATTTATGATCTTGGAAAACTGATGTAATAATTGTAGAAGAGGGTTTTTCAGATGGCTCAAGTGGTAAAGACTCCACCTATGAATGCAGGAGATGCAGTTTCAAACCCTAGGTTAGGAAGATCTCCTGCAGGTGGAAATGGAAACCCACTCCAGTATTCTCGCATGAAAAATTCCATAGACAGAAGAGCCTGATGGGCTACAGTCCATGGTGTTGCAAAGAGTTGGACACAATTGAGCATGCACACATAATTGTAGAAGATTTAAATGCTAGCCATTTGTTTTACTAAAAGTTGCGTCTGTAGGAAGTCTACATCAGAAAGACTGTTTCTCTTTGGAACACATCTGCAGGAAATAGTGACCACAGTGAAAGAAGAAAATACCTGATTAAATTCATTCATCAGCACCGTGTACTATCTACTAGAACTAAGTGGCTGCCTATGGGGTAAATCTAAGTAGAATTTTACTCTTTCTAATCAATGACTGGAATGATTGATTATTTAATAATCAGTTTATTTTTGTTTCTGTCTATGCTTCAGATGAGTATTTGGAACTGGCTTGTAATGAAAACTTTGCCTTTAGGTTTTTTCTTTCTTATTCTCAATATTATTATCCCAAAGTCTGACTTCCATGTAACTGGAACAGAGAGACTGCAAGTAAGAGATGGATTGAGAGTCTTTCCAGTTCTGTGGGTCATCTATGAAGGTCTCATGATTTTGTATCTTTGTGCTGAGAAGACTGTCTTCTGGGAGGAATACTGTCTTTGCTTACATCTCAGGCTGTAACCTGTTGACAGGCTGAAACCTGTTACTCTCTGTCTGAGTAAGTTGAGTCCTGACTGTCCAGTCTCTTGATTCGTTAAAGACCTTTGGGAAAACTCCTGGCAGAGCTTGTAAAACAACATTTCAATGGAATGAAGATTGAGTCATATACAAAGTTTAAATGTTCCAATTTCCTTATATGGAACTTACATGGAATTACAATAGGTCTCATCGGGACACTTGGAATCTAGCAGTTAGACTGTGTTAACCACACTTTGACTTCTGCAAGCATAGTTGTAGAAATGTCACCCTTCATTGATGACAAGACAGGTCATTGATTTAATTGCCCTTTAGTGCACTTTTCTACATTATGAAGTTGTCTTTAATTAGGGTTCAGTATGTAATTTCACATTAAACACTCAATTACCTGAATTAAAAACAAAAAAATCCTTAAAAGTAGTCTCTCAGTACTAAAGTAGTTTAGATCTTGGCCTGAGTGGCAGACCCCATTTTTTGCAGACTAAATTACATTCTTTTCATCCATGTGAATTCCTCAAGAAAAGATTTAGTGTTCATAAACTTCAGCTTCAGTTAGAGACATTTTCTCAATTACAGGCCAATAGCCTTCTGAACAGTTCTTTAGAACCCTGCTTTCCTCTCTTGACTAAAGTGTATGTGTCATTCTTTAGTCAGTAGCTCAGCATTTTGAAATTTCAGGCTCATGTCAGAAGGTTCAACTATAAATTACCAGTGGCTCACTTTGTGCCAAAACTCCTTGAGACAAGATATTTGGGAGATTCAGTCTAGAGGTCAAGTATAATAGAAATTCCTCTCTCTCTCTCTCTTTTTTTTGAGTTTTATCCCTGAATAGTTAGATCATCAGAAGCTAACACACTTGAACTATGCTGTCTTAGGTATGTTGTTTTTCATGGGAGAAATGCATGAACCTAGCTTTCACATTATGACCTTGTATTTCATAGAAGACAACCATGAGAAGTGTACACCTGTGATATCTTTGTCTTTTTTGACTGGATCTACAAGATAATTCCATTTATGAATTTAATGCCCATAGCCTGAAAAAACTTGCCTCTTCACAATGATTTCTATGTGTTCTTTTAATCAACCCATAAGGAATACACAACTAAATTTTATTCTTTTTCACTCTTCCTGCCTGGGAGATCAGCATTAAATTTAGAGCTCAGAGAGGGGCTTAGGAAAGACTATTTCTCTGCTTCTTTCTTCTTTGATTCTTTGTTGTGCTTTATAACATTTTAAGTGTGTGGTTTCATCTCTTTGAGGAGTAGATATGGCATAAATTATATATAAAATCTCCTTAGCAGTTATCTATGTTATTCCTAGCTTTCATGTATGTGAATAATAGAGGACATGAGATGTCATATTCCAATCCAGATTTGAATAATAAATTATATTACAGTGGGATCTACTGTAGTTTTATTTTAGCTTACCTTAAGTCATCAGATCCAAAAGCAGTTTTATTTTTTTATTTTATTTTTATTTTTGACCTACATGATTGTGTGTTTTTTTTTTTTTTTTTTCACAAAATACAAAGCTTTTCACCACATTATAGTAGTGTTCTAATACAAGAAAATCCCAACATTTTCATTGCAGGGGAAGAGTGATTTATATATAGGATATTAATTTTATAGATCCTTTGTTATTTTTGACTTTTGGTTGATTCTAGTCCTTCAGCCACAGGATGAAGACGTCATTGCAATGAAGTCTTCCACTCTCCACCTTACTCCTGCTGGCCCCCTCGAGCAAATCCTCCCCAACTGCATTTTTTAAACAGACAGCCTCACTAACTTCACCATCTCCTGCTACAACTCCCTTCTGTCTCTGCTGAACACCTCGCTCTTATTCTTTACAGCTCCACATGGCCTGGATCTATGGAGAGTCCTGAGATCAGACAAAGTGGATGGAAAAAGGACAGTGCAGTTGTTGTGGAAGGTGACCTCTCTCTGGGTTATTTATTTACAATTCTGTGTAAAAGCCTTGGTCTCTTATACCTCTAAGAATTGTGATTATGGACACTTTACCTCCTTAATTTCCTTCCCTAGAGGCTTTGATGCCCCAAATCTCACAATGGTTTCAAACCTCAGAAAAGCCCTCTATGTCATTTTGTAGAAGTCCAGAATGGGCAATGCAGACCCTGAGCCTTCTTCTTTGATCTGAAACGTTAACACTCGGAAATGTTAACACCTGGGACAGGTACAAAGTGTAAGTGCAAGTGTAAGTGCAGGAGGCTCCTTGACCTTCTGGAGAAAACCATCGCTGGCTGGCCTTCACTCTAAGGCGATGTAAAATTATAGAGCCCCCACCCGCACCCTGGAGAAGGGCACTGCCTTGGGGGTGAGCTTACTCGTGTGTCCTGAGGTCATTGCACAAGAGCCCCCAGAGCACTGGGGTAGTGGGGTGCAGGGATAGGACAGGGGCCAAATATGTCATTTTGTAGAAGTCCAGAATGGGCAATGCAGACCCTGAGCCTTCTTCTTTGATCTGAAACGTTAACACTCGGAAATGTTAACACCTGGGACAGGTACAAAGTGTGAGTGCAAGTGTAAGTGCAGGAGGCTCCTTGACCTTCTGGAGAAAACCATCGCTGGCTGGCCTTCACTCTAAGGCGATGTAAAATTATAGAGCCCCCACCCGCACCCTGGAGAAGGGCACTGCCTTGGGGGTGAGCTTACTCGTGTGTCCTGAGGTCATTGCACAAGTGCCCCCAGAGCACTGGGGTAGTGGGGTGCAGGGATAGGACAGGGGCCAAGTGGTCCTTTGTAGGATGGAGGCCTCGGAATGAGGAACAAAGGAGGATCAAGGTGGTTAATACAGAGGGCACGAGAGAGGGGATGAGAGGTGACGGTAGGAAAAAGGAGGGATCAGTAGGAAAGGAAAGGGCAAACAGAGGGGAAAAACCAGCCAGAAAGCAGGAGAGAGGAGTTGGGGGAAAGGAGAGAGGGAGGAGAGCAGTGAGATGCCCCAATTCTTTGGTGTCTCCAAATTCCTCAGGAAATACTCATTGGGTTATCTCATACTTGCTCAAGTCTGGGCAGGTTTCAAATGCTCTTGAAAATGGAGAAATCACCCTGCTTTTTCCAAATGACATCCCAATCCCAGTTACTTCAGGGTTGGAGCATCTTCTACCTTTCTCCTCTCCCCACCCCGAGGACAGAAAGACACCCTCAGTGGCAGCAGGCAAGGGAGAACACAGCCAGTGAGTGGTGTTGGGAAACCTTCAAGAATTGATCCCAGATGTTGTGAGTTCTTTCTCAGTCATCAAGTGTGGAAAGGAATTACTCTGTCAACATATTTCTGAGAAGGAAAGTAAACAAGAGCACATCCTGTGTGTGGCCAGACCCACATAGATCAAGTAGGCCAACCTGTGAAGTAGGTGAGATGGACTTGAATGCCCTTCTTCTTCTCCCCCTCACCTGGGGACTGGTCCTCCTTTTGCTTCAGTAGAGTTTTCTAAGAATTAAAACTGCTTAAAAAAGAATGAACTAAAATCAGATCATGGTGATGATTGCACAGCTCTTGACTGTACTAAAAGCCAGTGAGTTGCACACTCCAAAAAAGTGAATTTTCTGGTATGTGAATTATATCTCAATAAAACTATTATTTTATTATAAAAAGAGAATGAGTTATCATGAAAGATAAATGCCTCCCAGTCATTAGGAAGATTTTTAACAGACTTTTTATGTCATGGGAGGTGTAAAGGAAATTCTCAAACCAAAAAGGCAGTGGGACAAAGTGACTTCTGAAGTCCTTCTGACCTTATGTTCAGTCATTCTGCTCATCTCTGTGTGTTATCAGTAACAGAAAGAGGAAAACAGGGAAGCCCTCTAATTCCTGAGAAATACTCAGCATGCTGATCTCTAGCAAAACATATGATTAACGGGCACAGGTTCAAGGCTGAATAAAAGGTTGGCCTGGAGCCCCTGGGGTCACCTTCATTTCTCACCAAGGATTTGGTCTGATAGGGTAACCTTGAATGTTCTAGTCCTCTTAGCTGGAATGTGTGGTTGGGGAAGCCCTCTCCTTGGAGAGAGTGGTATGCAGATAAAAGGACAGGGCACTCTCCAACCCCTGAAGGTTTCCATGAAAGAAACGACCCAGGGCCAGAACAGACGTGGGATTGGCTCAGAGGAAATGCCTCAGCTTTTAAGTTTATGCTTCTCTGTCCATTACCAATATCTATTGGAGCATAGAAAAAGCAAAAGAATTCCAGAAAAATATCTGTATCTGCTTCATAGACTACACTAAAGCCTTTGACTATGTGGATAACAACAAACGATGGAAAATTCTTCAAGAGATGGGAATATTAGACCACATTACCTGCCTCCTGAGAAACCTTTATGAAGGTCAAGAAGCAAGTTAGAACTGGACATGGAACAACGGACTGGTTCCAAATTGGGAAAGGAGTATGTTAAGGCTGTATGTTGTCACCCTGCTTATTTAACTTATATGCAGAGCACATCATGTGAAATGACAGGCTGGATGAAGCACAAGTTGGAATCAAGATTGCCAGGAAAAACATCAATAAACTCAGACATGCAGATGACAACACCCTTATGGCAGAAAGTGAAGAGGAACTAAAGAGCCGCTTGATGAAAGTGAAAGAGGAGAGTGAAAAATTTGGCTTAAAACTCAACATTCATAAAACTAAGATCATGGCATCTGGTCCCATCACTTCATGGCAAATAGATGGGGAAACAATGGAAACAGTGAGAGACTTTATTTTCTTGGGCTCCAAAGAGCCCACTGTGGATGGTAACTGCAGCCATGAAATTAAAAGACGCTTGCTCCTTGGAAGAAATGCTATGACAAACCTAGACAGTCTATTAAAAAGCAGACACATTACCTTGCCTACAAATGTCCATGTAGTCAAAGCTATGTTTTCTCCATTAGTTGTGTATGGATGTGAGAGCTGGACAATAAAAAAAGCTGAGCACCAAAAAATGTATGCCTTCGAATTGTGGTACTGGAGAAGACTCTTGAGAGTCCCTTGGACAGCAAGAAGATCAAACCAGTCAATCCTAAAGAAAATCAACCCTGAATATTCTGAAGCTGAAGCTCCAATACTTTGGCCACCTGATGCAAAGAGCTGACTCACTGGATAAGACCCTGATGCTGAGAAAGATTGAAGGCAGGAAGAGAAGTGGGTAACAGAGGACAAGGTGGTTGAATGGCATCATTGACTCAATGAATTTGAGTTTGAGCAAACTCCGGGAAATGGTGGAGGACAGGGAAACCTGGCGTGTTGCAGTCCATGAGGTCGCAAGGAGTCGGACACGACTGAGCAAGTGAACAACAACCTCTCCCATTTAAGACAGAGAGAAAGATGCTGCCTAAAGGAATAAGGAGTGGTTTGCTTGCATTGTTTTGGGCATCATGCTAGTTTAGCTTTGTGGAATTAGATTTATGTCAAGGGTTGATACCAAGAGACCATTTAGAAATCCCCTCTCCTGGCATTTGGAGGGTTAACATGGCACCGAGTATGTTACTCATCCCAGAGGGATCATCATATGACTATAGTTTAGCACCTAATAGTTAATATTACCTCCCATCCCTGATTCCCACCATTTATTACTGTCTCAATGGCTTTCTTTCTTTGCTGTTAGCAGTAAATTTTGTTTCCTTTGTGTTCAGAAGGCAAAAGGAACCCCAGTCCTGGAGAAAGTACTTGGTTACAACATATGGTATTTTCCAGAAAATAATACTAACCTCACAGAGACATTGAACACTACTAACCAGCAGCCTGAACTGTACCTGGGAAACCAGACCTACTGGGTACATGTGATTTCTTATAATTCTCTTGGGAAATCTCCAGAGGCCACCTTGAGGATTCCAGCTATTGATGAAAAGTGTAAGTATGACATAAACTTCTTAGTTAGATGCCTTACCCCATCTGATTTGCCAAGGAGTTGTCCCTATCATGAGTTTCAGTAAACTCCGGGAGTTTGTGATGGACAGGGAGGAGGCCTGGCGTGCTGCCATTCATGGGGTCGCAAAGAATTGGACACGACTGAGCAACTGAACTGACTGACTGACTGTCCCTATCCTCTCAATGGTTGCTGTTTTTTAAGCATCAAAATGAAAATGAAGTAAGGACATTTTAGGTTATGGTGGGGTGATCATAATCTTCAATTAATTAATGAGCTTCTTGAAGTAATGTTCTTTTGGAATAAAGCCTGTGTTGAAAATCAGAGATTTCGTAAATCATAGGATACACAGTCATGAGCCTAGAAGTTCTATGTGCAGCAAGTCTTTGTTCTATTCTGAGTGAATATAAGCTGGATATTATAAAACTGTCAGATCTGCCATGTTTATCCTCAGTGGCTAAAAGATGTCTTTCAAAACCTTCCCTTCACAGTTCTGACCACATCCCAGTCTTAATTTGTTCACTCTGATGTTTTCTTCCTTTTCTCCCTTCCACTTGACTATCTAGTTAGGGATAGTTCTAATGTTAATTGTTGTTGTTGTTCAATTGCTAAGTCGTGTCTGACTCTTTGCAACCCCATGGACTGCCCCATGCCATAGGTTTCCCTGTCCTTCACTATCTCCCTGGAGTGTGTTTGGATTCTTGTTCATTGAGTTGGTGATGCTATCTAACCATCTCATCCTCTGCCACCCTCTTCTTTTGCCTTCAACCTTTCCCAGCAGCAGGGTCTTTTCTAATGAGTTGGCTCTAATGCTTATTCTTGCCAATAATTGCTCATTACACCTTTAATTAAGTAATTTTAAAAACATTACTACTCTCATGCAAACTTATATCCTGTTTTGGAATAAAATAGCTTCTTTGAGTCTTATTCAAGGAATTGCAGGCAATCTATTTCCTCTTCCTGGCTTTATTTTCTCTCTAGATCTTATTGCTGTTGTTCAGTTGATAAGTCATGTCTGACTCTTTTGCGACCCCATGGGCTGTAGCCCACCAAGTTCCTTTATCCATGGGATTTCCCATGCAAGAATACTGGGATGAGTTGCCATTTCCTTCTCCAGGGGATCTTCCTGACCCAGGGATCTGACCTTCCTCTCCTGCGTCTCCTGCAGCAATGGCAGTGGTGAGCAGTTACACCAGAGGCCTGCAAACCCTGAAATGTTTCTTATTTGACCCTTCACAGACCTCTTTGCAGTTCCCAGTCCAAGACATTTAAGAATGTGATGTTTTACAGAATTTTGTTTACTAGAGTCACCCGGAGAATAGTTCTAATAATAATTGTAAGTTTAACAGTCATAAGTATAATTATCCAATATTGACCATTAGGATATGTCAGACATTGTGCTAAAATGATATGATTCAATCTAATTTTAGCCTCACATGACCCATGGGATAGGTGCTATCAGGTTTACTTTTTAGCTGATGAAGCTGTGATTCAGGAAAGCTTAGTAATTTGCCCAAAGATCTCTCAGGCGGACTTTGAGCACAGGTCTACATGATTCCAAACTTGTCCAATATATTTTATCCAGAACCTTGGACTTAGTAAAGTGACTTAGAAATCTGATCACAGCTGCTGTGTGACACTGAATGATTATTTTCCTCTGTGGACCTCTGTTTTCCTATCTTTCAAATAAAGAATTGGAACAGAAACACCTTCAGGTTCCTTTTGGCCCCAAGACAAGAAGCTCTGCTTCTAGGAGACCTTAGCCAGTAGACAGCTGTGGAGTGGTCTGAGGCAGGACATGGCAAAACATGGCCAATTGTCCGAGGAGGAGGTTGGTACTGAGTTGAGGTAGGGTGCAGGTTGGGCTAGGATGGTGGGCAAAGATGAAGCACTACCAGCATCTGAGAATGGTATTTGATGGGCCCAGAGTGACTGACTTCACGCAAATCGTAAGAAATTAATGGCATTTGCAGTCTAAGTGCCTTTCCTCTTTTCTCAAGAGGGATCTATTTCCTACCACATCTGGGGGTGTATTGTGTTTGGAGAAGTTGCTCAAAAAGTGATTGTTGAATGATGGAGGCAATTAGTCAACATTCAGTAGAACAATGACTTGGAAACTTCTTTCAACAACCCTTAATGCTGCCCAGGCCCTTTCGTCTTGCTAGGCTGACTCATGGCTTGATTCCACACCCTCTGTGGTCCAGAATCTGTGCTTATTTCTTAACTCTTTAGACCTGACTTCTGCTTCTCAGAGTTCCAATGCTGCTAAACAGAAAGAGTGTGGGATTAGCAACCAACACTCACTTCCATCTTCATGTTGGGATGTTTGTGCAAGTGGTTTATTAATCAGAAAAGGAAGGAAGGCCAGGGAAGAGGAGGAAGAGGAGGCTGAGCCAAAGATGTTGATTGATTTTCCCAGATCTTCCCAACAAAGCACCATAGACTCGGTGACTTCAAAGAACAGAAACTCAACTGCCTCATTGTTCTGTAGGCTAGAAGTCTGAAAATGAGGCACTGGCAAGACCGTGCTCCCTCAAAAACTTCTAAGGGAGGATCCTTCCTTTTTATTCCAGTTTCTGGAAGCCCCAGGCTTTCCTTGGCTTGTAGCAGTCTAATTCTAATCCGACTCATTCCTCACATGACCGGCTTCCTGTGTGTATCTGTCTTTGCATTCAAATTCCACTTTTAAGGAGACCAGTCGTATTGGGCTAAGGACTCTCATCTTATTTTAGCTACTTACACCTGCTTTCCAAATGAAGTTACATTCTGCAATGCCAAGAATATCTTCTGCGGGCACACAATTCAACCCAGAATGGTTCGATCTGAGTTGACAGTCCTAGGGAGGGTGGTTCCAGCCTGACCCTTCTCAGGAACTCTGAAGTTTGTTACAGCTCAAAGTTATCCCAAGCAGGCGACATATAAAGACAGCAAAAAGGCATCAGAGGGGATCGGTTGGTAGTTTAGTCTCTGAGTCGTGTCCTACTCTTGTGACCCTGTGGACTATAGCCTGCAGGCTCCTCTGCCCATGGGATTCTCCAGGCAAGAATACTGGAGTGGGTTGCCATTTCCTTCTCCAGGGGCTCTTCCCAACCCAGGAATCAAACCTGATTCTCCTGTATTGCAGGCAGATTCTTTACTGATTGAGGGGATCAAGGAACACTAATGTTACCTGCTTCAAGAGGCTGAGTAAGTTTCCAAATGCTCCAATAATGACTTTAAGCCTGATTGCAGCAGTGACTAAGGATGCTTAGAGGCTGTGAGCAGGGGAGGGCAGGGAGGAGAGAGCTGGAACGCTAGGGCTTAGGTGGGGTTGATTTCCTGGCTCTGTGCTCCTTGCCCTACTCCAGCTTCACAATTTCCCCATGGCTCAGTTGTCCTTCCTTAGAGCTGCCCTTTCAAGGTGACAGATTCTCTGGCCTTGCTTTTAGACCAGACACTAGAGTCTCTCATAAAGGCCTAGTATGGGGAAAGGACTCCTTTCCCTTTAATTGTGAGCTTCAAGAACAGAGGCTCCTAAATACGTACACAGCCCTCTGGGGCTTGTTGTTGTTTTCCTTTTATTTTATTTATTTCTTTATTTTAAATTAATTTTTATTGGAGTCTAGTTGCTTTTGGAGTGGGGAGCTTCCTTGGTGGCTCAGACAGTAAAGAATCTGCCTGCAATGCAGGAGACCCTGGTTCAATTCCTGGGTCGGGAAGATCCCCTGGAGAAGGGATAGGCTACCCACTCTAGTATTCTGGTGTGGAGAATTCCATGAACTACAGTCCATGGGGTCGCAAAGAGTTGGACATGACTGAGCAATTTTCACTTTCCCATTTAGGTCACCACAGAGCATTGAATAGAGTTCCTTTTGCCATAGAGTAGGTTCTCATTAGTTATCTATTTTACACATAGTAATGTATTTGAGCTCCGGGAGTTGGTGATGGACAGGGAGGCCTGGCGTGCTGCGATTCATGGGGTTGCAAAGAGTCAGACAGGACTGAGCGACTGAACTGAACTGAACTGAATGTATTTGTTGCATAGGCATAGCAGAATTTAGTAACCCCTGGCCTCTTATGCCAAATCTCTATACTTTGCCTAGGTTTCCAACTTCCAGAGGCATTTTGGCTTTTTTGAGGGACTCCACCTCTTCTTCTGCCCTCATCCAGAACCATCTTTGATGTTAATTTAAACATGTTTCCTGTGGATTCCAATTCTATAGGCTCAGGGGTGTTGCAGGCGGTGAGGAGTAGAAGAGGGGAAAGCCACATGCTGTGGTCTTCTGAGCCCCACTCCTTCATGCCCTCCGTCTTCTCCTTCTCTCCCCACATCTCCAATAGTCCTCTCTTCTGTGTATTCAGAACATTTTCAATAAGGGAACTCTCTGATTCTGATTAGATCCCAGCTACTAGACTTGAAGCCACATGTTCAACGTTTCTACTAAAGAATACTATGGACTGTTTCCCCACCTATTTTTTTGCTAGGTCTGCAGGGAATGCAGTCATTTACCTATTGGTCCACAGCTAGGTGCTTCAGTTGGGTGTGTCTATATCCTTCTGCAGCAGACACAGTTCTTCCTACCTGAAGATGGGACTGCATAGCCAGGTTGTATAGCACCAGTTTAGATAGTTGAAATTAGAAACCATCACCCTGGTATGAATTTAGGGCCACCAGCTTCCAGCTTCCCAGTTACAAAGTTATAGATGCCTGAAATTCTACCTTTAGAGATCTAGTCTTTGTCTCAGGCTTACTTTCCTTTTGATTTGCACAGACCCCAGAGATGCCTGGTAATTCTTCTTAGGCATCAACAGTCTAGTAAGGTTCTTTGCTGGCAACAGGCAAATTTGGGGAAGATAACAAAAGGCACTTCATCAAATATTAATAGTAAGGAAAAGGGATACAATAAAAACATTGAAAACAGCATCCTAGTGGAAGGTGGCAGTGGAGATCCTGAACTTTGACCTTCTTTACACTTTGGGCAATGAATAGATGTAAATGTGGTTGGTGCGTTTGGAGGATGAGTTCGGTGTTGTGAAGCAGTCTTTTCCTCTCCTTTCAGTGTTCCAGTGCATTGAGGCCATGCACACCTGCCTCACTCAGGACCAGCTGGTGGTGGAGTGGCAAAGCTCTGCTCTGGAGGTCAATACATGGATGGTGGAGTGGGTCCCAGACTTGGACTCAAAGCCCTTGGCCATTTCCTGGGAGTCTGTGTCTCATACCAGGAACTGGACAATCCAGCAAGGTAGCCAGTGCGGACCCCACAGGTTCTTGCTATGTAGGATTCACTTTCGTTTTAACGAGTTTTAAAATCCTTAATTTTGGCTTCAAACCTGTAAATTGTGAGTAATAGAATTTGACAGGCTAGGGCAAGCTTAGTGATGTGTGCTTCTTGGCATTTCCCAGCAATGCTGGAAGAATGAGTATCGAACTAGGCAGCTGACATGCTTCCAGGCGGAAAGCACCATATTTGGTGGTGGACACCCACCATCAGAGAGCTCTTCCCAGATACAATGATCATGTGGATACAATGTGCAAATCATGCGATTGTGTGGAAACACCAGAGTTTGTATCCCATCTGTCCTATTCAGGGTGCCTCCTTCAGTTCTGGCTACATGTTTAGGTTCTAGGGCCATTCCCCAAGTGACTGATACAGAGAATAGCCTTCTTTTCAAGAAAGTCCCTGTCCATATAAGACACATAAGTGAGGCTTTACTCTCCCAGTCTTATCACTCCAACCATTTTTTAATACTTAGTAGCATCTATATGAAGAATTATACTTATGTAGAGATGCAGACAGACAGAAGAGCTAGAATATATGGTAGCTGAGTTCTCTAGGGTGATATGCTATTGAAAGAAGAATTAAGTTTATTCTGTAGTGCTCCCCAAATGATGTAACAAAATCAGTGATGAAGGAGAGCCTGGATCTCTTACTTCTCCCTTCCTGGGTGGCTCAGCCATTTTGTCAGAGTGGTGCAGATTTGGTTCTAAGAAGTAATTTTAAAATGTTAGAAACAACATAGACGTTTGAGACCATCCAAGTTAACTTCCTTATTTTTCAGATGTGGAGATGATTGAGAAATAAAGTATCTTCTGTAAGTCACAGGTCATAAGTCTTAGTCTAGCATTCCTTCTTCTATGCCATGCTCTGCACCTAACGCTTCTTTCTCCCTCCCTCACTCCTTCTCTCTCTTTCCCTTCCTCTGCCCCCCCTCCCTCTCTACCTCCCCTTTTTCTGCCGATGAACTGAAACCTTTCTGGTGCTATAATATCTCTGTGTATCCAATGTTGCAAAACCGAGTGGGCGAGCCATTTTCCATCCAGGCTTATGTCAAAGAAGGTGGTACGTATGGACAAGGTTCCATTGGGCAAAGGAAACTCTGGGACCTGTCCAACATTTCCTCAAGGCTGTGAAGGCCTGTAGCTTGTTCACAGTTGTTTTAGTGCTCATCCGTGCTGCACATTTAGCTTGTAATAAGCTATGTATACTTATTACAGTTTGTAGAAGTTGACACAGTTGTGGTCAGAGTATGGAGTCAATGAATTTTAAAGCTGCGGTGGACATTAGAGATCATCAAGTCCAAGTCCCTCATCTCACAAAAGCAAGGCTCAGAGAGGTGAACCAACTTGCCCAAAGCCACAAAGAAACAGTGCTGACAGCTCTATAATCAGAAAAGAAAGACCAAGCTAGGGGCCCTAAGAGTTAACTGTAACTTGGAGATGCTAAAAAATTATATTTGATTGTATAGTATTAATCAAAGGTTTTATTGGTGAACCACTCAGATTTTAACTTCTACCTTTTTGGAAGTTAACGTCTTCCAGATTCAACCTTAGGAAATATATCCTGTCACTCAAAGACAGCTCACGGAAGCATAATCTTCAACTGTTTGATAATAGCTATTACACGTATGGATGAAAAAGCTGGGAGCCAAATTAGTGAGAGGTCTATGAGGAAGTACTCTTTCTCTGGTCTTTGACTCTGCTTCTCTTCCTGTTTGAGAGGCATGATTCCAGACAACAGTTTTCTCAAGACAAGTTGATTCATCATTTCCCTACTCTGCCCCACCTCCCACCCCCAGCACTGATTACAGTTTGTGGACTGGGCAGAGACTTCATAGGGAAAGGATGAGCTGGGGTGTGATGCGGTGTTCCATTTGTCTCCCTGTCCTATAAAGTTCCATCAGCAGGTCCCATGACGAAGGTGGAAAACATTGGTGTGAGGACAGTCACAATTACATGGAAGGAGATTCCCAAGCATCAGAGAAATGGTTTCATCAACAATTACACCATATTTTACCAAGCTGAAGATGGAAAGGAATTCTGTAAGTGAGCTTATAGTCAAGCTGAAAGAACCCTGAGCCCCAGATAGATGCTGCAGATAGACCTGCTATCGGGGTAGCTCCTATGGTGGGTGCCCTGCCATTTTGCAGGAATCACTTAACTTCCTTGAGATTCTCTGAAAACAGTGTCAAGGGTGTCCATCTCTTGAGTTTTTAAGAGTCAAATGAGATTGAAATGACTGTACCTGAGAGTCCTGTAGGGACCAGAGAAATTGATATAATTTGTGCCCATCAGGCTGTGAACAGTGGGCCTCCAGGGAGCTCTTGATCTTTACTCCAGAGTGGGACATGCCTAGATTAAAGGCTAGAGGGGACAGACCCTATTTGGTGGCACTTGCTTCAGTGCAGGACCCTTTACAATGGCTTCTACCGTCCACTGCCTTTTTCTTGCGTCTACAATATTGCCTGACATCCTCAATTGTGGGCTAGGCCTGGGTTTCTGTTTAGGCTAATTTTTTTTTTTTGGTTACGGTAAAATACATATAATGTACATATAATGTAAATTTTACCACTTCAAACATGTGAAAGTATACAATTTAGTGGCGTTAAGTATTAAACATCTGTAATGTTGTAACCATAACACTACTTATTTCCACTTCAAACAGAAACCGTGTACCCATTAATCAGTCACTTCTTTACCCTTGTCCCACAGTCTGCGGCAACCACAAAACTCCTTTCTGTTTCTATGGGTTTACCTATTCTGGATATTTCATAGAAACAGAATCCTACAATATGTGACCTTTTCTTTTTTTTGCCTGGCTTCTTTCACTTAGCATAATGTGTTCAAAATTCATCCATGTTGTAGCATGTATTAGCCCCTCATTCCTTTTTATGGCTAAATAATATTTTATTATATCAAGAAACATTTTTTTAGTCCATTCATCAGTTGATAAAACATTTTAGCCACTGTTATTAATGCTGCAATGAACATTGGTGTATAAATATCTGTTTGAATCTCTGCTTTTAATTCTTTGGGGGTATATACTAGGATTAGAATTTCTGGGTCATTTGGGAATTCTAAGTTAACTTACCAAGGGACCACCAAACTGTTTTCCATAGCAGCTATTTACATTTTCCACTAGCAATAAATTAGAGTTCTAATTTCTCTACATCCTTATCATCACTTGTTATTTTTCGTTTTTAAAAAGCGTGGCTGTCCTAGTGGGTATAAAATGCTATCTCAATGTGGTTTTTTAAAAAATGTATTTATTTTTAATTGAAGGATAATTGCTTTACAACATTGTGTTGGTTTCTGTCATAAATCAACATGAATCAGCCATATCAATGTGATTTTGATTTGCACTTCCATAATAACTAATGATGTAGAGAATCTTTTATATGTGTTTGTTGGCCATTTATATATTTTCTTTAGAGAAAGTCTTCTCAGTCTCTTTGTTTGTTTTTAAGTTGGGCTGTTTGTCATTCAATTGTTGAGTTGTTAGGGTTTTTTGTTTGTTGTTTTTTTTTAAAAGCATTCTGGATACAAATTCCTTATCAGATGTATGATTTGCAAGTATTTTTTCCCATTCTGTGAGTTTTTCACTCTCTTGATAGTGTCTTTTGATGCACAAAAACTTTTAATTTTGATGAAGTCCAGTTTAATCTTTCTGCTGCTTCTGTGCTGGTGTCATATTTAAGAAGTCATTGTCATATTCAAGGCTATCTAGATCTACCCTATGTGGTTTTCTAAGTGTTTTATAGTTTTAACTCTTATATTTAGGTCTTTGATCCATCTTAATAAGCTAATTTTAATGGATAGAGAGATAAGAGTATTAGATGGCCAAGCTTGGAAGCCCAGGTTCCAGTGCTCTTATTTGAACTCCAATAAAGCACAGTTTTCACTTGGCTTTGGCTGTGGTGTTTGACTTCTGTATTTTTCCTTTAGCCAAGACAGTCAACTCCAGCATCCTGAAGTATGACCTGGAGTCCCTGACACGAAAGACCTCTTACACTGTTCGGGTCATGGCCAGCACCAGAGCTGGGGGAGCTAATGGCCCCGGGATAAGCTTCAAGACATTGTCAATTAGTGAGTACTTTTTAGTCCCTGGGAATGTCTCCTTGACATTTCCTTTAGGCCAGTCACAGATGGTGTTTGCCAGGGGCAGGGGAAAGCCAAATGAAGGGGTGAAGTAAGAAGAACCATTTGTTGTCTGACTCACTGGCCTTCCAGGAAAGCATATGTGTGATGGGACAGAGAACAGGAAGATTGAGAGCTGAATTTGGAAAGATAGTTCATTTTGCTTCTTCCTCACAGGTAGCCCCAAATCTTCATAGAGAGGAGGGATCAAGTTAATGCCAACTTCACTGACACTTCAAACCAGCCCCACCTCAAGACTGTCCCCAGTTCACAGTCGTCAATCCCTGTGTGTCAAACAAGGAAAAACCTTGCACCATTGACCCACTTAATGTCATCATTTGTGGAGTCTTTTGAGTAAAAAAGTGCATAATATGTTCTAGTAATCAGATTTTATATTAAAAATGGGAGCAAGAAAAATTTAATAAATAAAACAATAATGTAAAATATAATGTGATTCATATGATGCTTGTGGGGGCTATTAAAGAGGGGAAATAAGATGGGCTGAGAAGGGAGATGAAGGAGAAAGAAGAAAGGAAGATGGGAGAAACAGGTTAATTTTTCCAAGTCTTTGAATGACAGAAATTTGATTGTAAGGATATACTAACATTGTTCTTAAATATGAAACTTAAAAGTTAAGGAATATTGCAAAATTTCAATAAAAGCTAGAAACAGTATAAGTATTCTTGGAAGTCCCTTGTTTATCATCATGTTTCCAAGAGAAGAAAAGCAGTTTATGGTTCTAGAAAATGTGGGTATAGTATGTGTTTCTACACAGAAAACATGTTCTTTTTTATTGACTGAAACCTTGTCTTTAGGGACTTCTTTTTTGCTATTGCTCTTTAAAATCTTTAAAAATCATGTTATATTTTTACAACACTAGACACAAATTGCATTATCTGGTGGAATTTCTCTAGGGGTCAACTTGAAGGCAAAAAACTTGGAGCCTAGAAGTTTTTTACCCTTGGTTCTTATAGATCTCCCTGCTTCTATCTTTGATTCTCTACCATCTGTTTTCTACACAGCAGCCAGAGTTTAAAATCCTAGACCACTTGCTTAAAAGCCACCAATGGCTTCTGTTGTATTTTAAATAAAACCCAAACTCCTTCCCATAGCTTTCAGGACACTTCCTCATCTGTCCCTTCCTGATCTCACCTCCCACCACTTCCCAATTATGTCCCCATTTATGCTCCTGCATCTGCTCATTTTTCTGTCTGGAATGCTTTCCCCAGAATGAACATGGCTCGTCCCTTCTCATTATTCACATTAGCTCAAATTTTACTTCTCCCAAGAGCCTTCCTTTGCTACCTTATCTAAAGGTGCTAACTCCTATCCCACTTTACCCTAGTTATTCTCTAATAATAAAAATAATTTTAAAAATACCCATTTTATCTGAAATAATCTTACATTATTTATTGTCTGAATTCTTGTACCAGAATGTAAACTCCATGAGAGTAGGGATTCTTGTGTTTCTTGCTGTTTGTTTTACTACTCAGAATAGTGTTTGGCAAATTATAAGTGCTCAGAAAATGTTTATTAAATGAATGAAACTGGAGGATGAACCTGGGGAACATAATTTCTGTCAGTATTATTCAGGGAGAGGAGAAATGGAATGAGTTTGAATTAAATTGAAAGAAAATTGACAAGGAATATGTTGCTAAAACTACTGGAAGGAAATATTACTCTTTGATTTTTGTCAAGAAAGTAAGGAGCTCAGCCTACTACTGATTTTGTTCTCCTTTTCCCAAAGGTGTCTTTGAGATTTTTCTTGTAACTTCTCTGGTTGGAGGGGGCCTTCTTATTCTCATCCTCCTGACGGTGGCATATGGCATCAAAAAACCCAAGTGAGTTTGGAGACAATGCGGGCCCTCAAAATGAGGGCTGGAAAGGGAGGGGAAGGCACCATGGGTGGAAGAGGGTGCTCTGCTATTTAGGCATGTTCATTCATTTTTTTTTTTTGGTTTTTTAACCTAGCTACTGAATTTAGCATGTGCCTTACACTGTGGCACATTAGATTTCTAACTGGAGCAGAGGACCTCTACCCCCCAGAGCCCCATGCACCAGGCCTAGGACTTTTTGAAGCCAGGGAAGTGCCAGCTGCCTCACAGGCTTTATCTGCTATGTTTTGCAATTGAGACTAGAGTTGGGGAGAAGATCCTCTCTCTCAGTGTCTAGTGGGGACCACTGGTGGCAGCAAAGCGTCTCCAGGTGGCCAGCTTCTTTTCTGGGTAGAGTGGGGAGCAGGGTCCCCATGGAGTTGGAGCTCTGGCCAGCGCATGCCCAGCATAGACTGGTCCTTGCTAATTACACAGTGTTGGAGGGCTGGCTGAAGGCCATTTGTGCTGCCTGCTCTGGCCACTGTAGGGAAGGAAGCCTGTCTTCAGGGTCTTGTCATTTCTCTCCCCAGAGAGCCTCATTCTACCCTGAGGGTCATGGGCTCCCTCCCTCTCTCTCCAGAACTGCACAGCTGTGAGTCTTCTCTGCCAAGCTGCATTTGCGTGTGCATGGATGCTAAGTCACTTCAGTCGTGTCTGACTCTTTGCAACCCTAGAGACCCTAACTAGGGACCATAGCCTGCCAGACTCCTCTGTCTGTGGAATTCTCCAGGCAAGAATACTGGAGTGGGTTGCCATGCCCACCTCCAGGGGATCTTCCCAGCCCAGGGATTGAACCCATGTCTCTAATGTCTCCTGCATTGGCAGGTGGGTTCTTTACCACTGACGCCACCTGGGAAGCCCAAGCTGTGCTTAGTTATGGTCAAACTAAGTCAACCTCAGTTCCCGTGGATTGTAACTGAATCTTCAGCACAAATTCTTGTACATTTTGCATATCTAAAAGCTCCCAGGTGGTGACGATGCTGCTGGTTGGGAACCACACTTTGAGAATCACTGCTCTAAAACATGAGTATCTTCTAAGACTTAGAGTGTTACCTTTCCTGGGGAATAAATCTCAAACAAATGGCTCTGTGATAGTGTGATTCCCGGCACCAGGACCAGGGGGTGGAGATGCGGTGGCAGGAGAGTGGGAAAGAGTAGCTTTGTGGAGAAAGGTCTCCCTCCATTACGTCCCACAAATGACTTGCAGTTTCACCACTCCCCCGCCCCCGACGCAAAGCACTTTGTTTTCTCAGTTTCCATCAGGAGGCTGTGAGCTTGCCATTATTCAATAGGGAGCCGTACAATTCCCCATGTGTGTGTGCATGCTCAGTCGTGTCTGATTCTTTGTGACCCATGGACTGTAGCCCACCAGACTCCTCTGTCCATGGAAGTTTCCAGGCAAGAATATTGGAGTGGGCTGCCATTTCCTTCTCCAGGGGATCTTCCCAACTTGAACCTGGTTCTTGCGTCTCCTCCACCAGAAGGCGGGATAGCATTCTTTTGGCTTGGCCATGCAGTACAAGTAAAATGCTTCTTGGACTTACTTCCTGTTTTAAAATCTTCTCTCTTATTAGCAAACTGAAGCACCTATGTTGGCCTGATGTTCCCAACCCTGCTGAAAGCAGTATAGCCATGTGGTGTGGGGATGATTTCAAGGTAAACACTCCTGTTTCTACTAAGGAGATTGTGAGCAGGCTGGTTATGGGAGGTGGACAAGATGATGCATGTGGGGAGCAGTCCTGGGCTGAGATTTGCACAGGGTTCACATAAGGGGAACTCGAGGTTTAAATATCCCAGGGAATGGGGGCAGGACAAATGGAATCAGCCTTCCTGGAATAACTTTGACCTCAATCTTTGGACAAGAGGAAAGGGCTTCACCAGGCTCATAGAACCTGGTGTTTGCTGGGCATAGAACTGATCCTATAAGGGCTGCCACAGAAGAAAGACACTGGCCTTACCTTTAAGGACCCGACTGTCCAGTTAGAAAGCAGGAGAGCCCAGCTATAAGGTTGGAGGCCATTGAAACAGCAGCCAAGAGCAAATTAATACAGAAACCACCTGAGGACTGCTTATGTGCATTTCTGTCTGAAGGCTAGGGCAGGCTGCATCAAATTGTTTTTCTCAGATTGGAGAAGTTGGCAACGGGTATTTTTGTGAGTTATTCATAATAAAAAGTTTCCTTTCACATACATTTTGAAAGTGAAAACTGTTCTGAAATTCTTAAGGTGTAATTTTCTGGTTAAGTAGAAATAAGCCCAGTCAAGTATAACCTTTAAATCCTTATTATTGAAGGACTATTTTCAGTATCCCTTGATGCAGGAATTTTTAGTATTAGCCCTCATTTCAACTCATAAGACTTTTTTTAACGTGGACATTAAAATTAGTTTATTATTTGTTTAATTAAATTTTTGTTATTTCTCTTTTCTTCTCTCATCATTCATGTATTATCCTATTTAATTTCCTACTGACCAAAAGTTATTAACAGAGTAAATTAATTCATAGGAAGTATTGTTTGATGTCTAAAATGTTTTTTGAATTATCTGCAGTACCCACTTATTAATCACTCAATATATGCCAGGCATTGAACTAGGCTCTGGGAATACAAAGATGTCAGACCCTGCCCCTGCCAGGAAGCCATTTTTTATTTTTATGGTAATGTTGGGAAAGTCATTTGTCTTTATGACTGTGGTTTTTCCATCTGTAACAGTTTTAATTTTGATGCTTCCATTTCCACTGGAATTTTGTGAGCCCATGATTATATGAAAAATAGCTTTGGGCTCCCTAGAAGAAGAAATTATTTGAATATAGTGTGTTCTTCTCAGGAAATGGGCCACTCTTGCCAAGGTCCCATGGAAGGGCACCACTTCTGGTCTCTGAGAGGGATGTGGCAGACTAGTGCAGAGGTGGGCTTTGGGTGTCCCAAGCCCGGTAGCTTTTGGCTACATCATGTGTGGCCCCCAAATGACCATTGGGGGTGTGTCTCTCTCACTTTCCCAGGGAAAGCTAAATCTGAAGAAGTTTGACAACTCTGTGAACAGAGAAGAAGACAGGATTCTAAAACCATGTTCTTCACCCAATGGCCTTATTGACAAGTTGGTGGTGAACTATGAGAATTTTTTGGAAGTGGTTTCCGCTGAGCATCCTGGGAAGGGTTGGAAAAATATCTTGGGAGGGGAAAAGAATGAGTACGTGACCTCCCCAAACAGGCCTTATTGTCCTACTGTTTCAACCGAGATTCCACCCAGAGGGTCCCAGTGCCTGTGTCCTGGGGTGCTAGAGGAGACCTGCTCAGAAGCCAGAGGGCAGCTTCTCCCTCCCGCCCAAGGCTTTGGGCCAGACCATCTCTGTGAGGAAGGAGCATCAAACCCATACTTGAAAAATTCAGTGACAACCAGAGAATTTCTTGTGTCTGAAAAACTTGCAGAGCAAATCCAAAGAGAAGTCTAAGTGCTGCTGTGACTTGAATCCCCCTGCATCTCAGTGTGGGTGACACACAGAGGTAGAAGGTGTGGCTCCAAGAGCTTTCTTGGCATCTTCCCATCCTGCTTGTGTTAGAGAAAGCCTTGCACACCCCCAAACTTGGTTGGTACAGATGTGGAATTCGCTTGAGAAGAAAGGATGGTGATCAGCCCGAGCACTTTGCAGACGAAGAACAATCTTTTTTTGTTATTGTTGTTTAGCTAACAAGCTATCACTGAGGCCCCTGGCAGATGGACTCAGAGGGACAGTAGACACTGGAGGCAGACATATGTGGCCTTCCCGAGGAATTGGGCCTTGGGCACGGCCTCTGCTGGGGCCGCTCGTCACAGCTCCAGGAGAGACTTTCCCTGTTGCCAGAAGACCGTTGTTTAGTTGGCACCTGGGTGACCTGCTGGGAGGCAAGGGGCTCTCCCATCACCTTGACTTCCCTGGCTCTAGGCTCCACTCTGAGGCAGCCCTGGCATCGCTTTAGAGTCGCTTTAAATCTCTCTTTCAACACAGAGGCAGAAAGCAGGGTGGCCTTCCAGATGGAGTGCCTGAAACACCTCATTATCCTCATTAAATCTCAGGTGTCTGCAGCAACACCCCACCCAGGACTCTTGCCCGTGGTCACTCCACGCCTGCAGCGGGGGATGGAGGAACAAGGGAGGGCCTCAGCAGGGCGCTGGAGAAGGGACTCTCGCCTGGGCTGGCAGGTCTGCCCCGCTGGCCAGGTCGTAGCGCAGCCCTGCCAACAGTTTCCGGAGGATCCTGCTGCCCCTCTGTCTTGTACCCAAGCCTGGAAGTTGAAAGACACCAAAGATTGCAGCGGCTGTTTGACAGGGACTCTGGTGCCTCGTGCTGGCCTGGAGCCCAGGAATGCTTATGGAACACATCCTGCAAAGGCCTCTCCCCAGAAGCAGCCGAGCAGGGCCTGGGCCCATGGACTGCTCAGTAACTGTGCTGCTCCCACGCCGGGCCTCCTCTGCCTTCACCCGGCAAAGCCGGGAGCCCACAGCCTTGACTGGAACCGTGAGCCCGAGGGCTGATGGCAGACCCCTGGGAACTTGCGGCTGGCCCTGGGCTCGCACCCTGCGCGCAGTGACTTGCTGCTGTTGGCGATGGCTTGTCTGGCCATTGAGGGAAGTTGCTGAGAAGCCTGGTATGGTGGGGGCAGAGGGGTCCAGTGAGCCCAGCATTTGCCAGATAGAAAGGCTGATGGTATTTTCTCCAAGAGTGGGAAGTCTGTGCTTGTGGTCCACAAGCAGCAATCACAGACTTCACAAGCCACCGACTCAGGTGTGCAAAAACATTGCTTTCCTTTCCTATAACCAAGATTGATTTCCAGTCCCAGCCCCTGACCTTTAGAAGGAACCACCCCAAGTTAGTGATTCTGAGTTGCCTTGGGTTCGGAGCTCGAGCTCACCTGGGATTTCAATGCCCCATCCACCCTGGGACTGGCTCTGAGTGCCAGCAGATATTCAGGGGAATGTGAGGTCTGCTGCCCAACCCTGGGCAGAGACGTGCCTTCTTCCCTGTCCCCTGCCACTTTCCTCCAATCACTGCATCCTTATCGTGGGCACAAGCAAGGATGCTTTCCCAAAGCTGTCTCCTCATTAAGTCTCCAGTGTCTATAGCACCCCTCAAATTCATCAGTCCTGGTTCACAGAACAGTGACCACTGATAAATCTAGGAATAAAGGATGCCTGGGGCAGGCGCTGGGGAGCCTATGTTCTCACAGCAGAAAGGGACCAAATGAAAGGGACTCCAGGCTGTGGTGGGCGCTCTCTGCCCTGATGCCTCCCTCCCCAACCCTGTTGTTATGTGGGCACTCCTGTGAACCCCGTGTCCTCCAGAATCCCAGACAGACCCTTTCTATCCACCTCTGATCTCTGAGCTCACAGGAGGCCCTAGCCCGGTACCCCACATTCCTCTCTCTCTCCTGAGAAACCCTCTGCTGCCTCCAGCTGAGGGGCAGGGAGTACCAGTGAGTCCCTGTAGTCTTGTTCTCACGCCCTTTTGAACCTAAAGTCCAAGAATTTGATGGTGGGGAGAGGGAAAAGGTCACAAATCGAAGTGGGTTTCAGAGATGAAGCCATTACCCTTACTCTCCCTCCCTTAACCATTCATTAACACCTGAAGCTCCTGATAAATAGCTGGCAAATACCACACCCTGGGGCTTCCCAGGTGGCGATACAGGTAAAGAACCTGCGTGTCAATGCAGGAGACGTAAGAGATGCGGGTTCAATCCCTGGGTCAGGAAGATCCCCTGGAGGAGGGCACAGCATTCCTTGGACGGAGGAGCCTGTCGGGCTGCATGACTGAAGAGACTTTAGCATGCATGCACCACACCCTTGGCCCTTCCTCCGTTTCATTCCCCTTCCCACGTTCCTTCTTGCCTCCTGTCTTCTGCTCCTTTTCCCCCACCATTCCCAGCAGCTTTGCATCTTTTTAAACGCTTCCTTTTTTCCCCTCTCCCATTTCTTGTTTCTCTTCTTTTTATCCTTTTCTCCCCTTTCCATTAGCCCCCTTATAACATCTCCAGATTTGCTAGCTTTGAGGGCTAGGACATTTAGGGCCCTCTGTTTTGTTCTAGATGGCCCAAGGCGGTTTCACAAGAGTCAGTGTTTCCTGCCAGAAAGGGGGCACGTTTCTGAGGCGGCCCGGAAGCACACTGCAGCGCCGGCCTGCAGAGCAGATCACAGGCCTGGCCTGGGCGAAGCCAGCGGTGACCTTCCTCTCCTGGAATCCGGTCACGGACTGTCCCTGCTCCAGGGTCCTGCGCTGCCTCTGTGACTGCAGATGGAGGGGGCCATCTGCGTTTTTATCCTGTTGCTGTCAGAGAGACACTGAACAGACACAAACAGGAAAACTTGTTTTATCAAGCTCATTAAAAACTGGTAAAATTCTCCTTAGGGTTTTCTAGGGCTCTGGGAACCACGCAAACAGCTACATTAGTGCCCTGTTACTAGCCTTTCTTTTACAGTAATATCAGAAAAAATTTTTTAAAGAATGGCAGAGAAGCGGTTAGTGGTTCAAAAAAGGGAGATGGTACCTTTATTCTTTCTCGGGCAGCTGCAGTAAAACGCAGAGTAACAATACCATCTGAAGTGGGGGTCCTGGTGGAGGTGAGGGTTTGAAAGAGGCAGAAGATGGGGAGGTCCCAACACCCCCATGGCTGTTCCTACCTCGTGTGGGGAAAGCCTGTGCTGGCCTGCCCAATTCCCCTCGCCCCGTTACCCCCCACTCCCCCAATCCCTTCCCTGGGTCTCCAGTGGCTCTTAGCTATTGATGCTGCTGCAGGCATGCGTCAGCCCAGGTCCCTGCCAGCCGGCCCTTGAGCCCAGTCTGGGCTCTGTTTCTGAAGGGCCCATGAGCCAAAAATGATTCTTACATTTTCAAAGACTAGAAAACAAAATTAAATGAAGAATAACGTTTAATGATATGTGAAAACGCTACAGAATTCAGTGTCTACTGCTGAAACTTAGTTGGGACACTGTCACACTTATCTTTGATCTATCATCTCCAGCTGCTTTCTGCACACAGAGACAGAAATGAATAGCTGTGACAGAGCTTCTTCCATAGAGCCTAAAATGGTCACCATCTGGTCCTTTGTAGAAAAAGTTTGCTGACCCACCCCTGTGAAGCCCACAGACACAGACTCAGACTGCACAAAGTGTTTTAACTTTGAAGTATCTGCTAAGGAAAAACAAAATCAGGCTGTGTCATTCTGGACTCCTAATTGGATCGAGACAGCCCTCTGAAGAGGGCACACTGCGGCCCTCACGATCTCTGTCTGCCTCTGCCTGTGGCTAAGTTGGATAGTTGTGGCTATTTAGCACTCACTCCAGTAGTTCTTGACCCAGGTTATTTTCTCCCATCCCCGACCGTCAGACATTTGGCAATGCCTGAGGGCGCTGCTGGGATCGAGTGGGTAAGAGCCAGCAAAGACGGTGGTCACCCTACAATGCACAGAACAGCCCCTGCAACAAAGGATTATGTGTCTCAAGGCACCAGTGGTGCTGAGGTGAGAAATCCTGACTGAGCTAACCTCTGCCTTGCGCCCACAGCAATGATCACAGATGCCTCTCAGGGTCCACACATAGCTCTAGGGGGATCTCTCTTTTTTATTTTTTCGTAAATTAAATTTTGTTTTGGACTCAACTTCACAACAGCAACAAGAACAAACATCTCAATACCAATTATTTCTTTCTTAATTCATTTCTGATATGATCTGTGTCCCTTAAGTGAAATACATTTTCATTTAATTACAAGTGATACATTGATTCAATTGGAGTCTCCCTTTACTGTCACTTATTATTTCATGTATAAAATTTCATGTATGAATACAGTTCATAGTGGCCACACCGAACCTCTCAGTGTACCTGAATATCGTGATTTGCTCAGGATTGTTTTAAATGTCCTCCTCATATAGGGAGACACTTGAATGAACATTGTTGCACAAAATTTTCTTTTTGCACTTTTGTCCTCACTCCTTGGGTAGAATTGCTGGGTCAAAGTATTATGGTTATTGCATGACTGTGCCCCCCAAAAAGCTACAGTGATTTGCAACAGCATCAGACACAGCTGTAAACTGAATTTTGTCTATTTACTGGTTATGCTCAATGAAACTTCATAGTCATTTGTGTTGCTTAAATCGCTGTGAAGCAGACCATGAGAAGGGTCATTAGCAGGCTTTTACCGGACACTGGGGTCAGCAGGGGGAGACTTTGCTCAGAAGCTTGAACAGCCCCAGGCCACATTTGCAGACGCGAGGAGGCCGCCCCTGCCCTCCACACTGCTGGGCTGCTGTCACAGTACCTGCCCCCTTGCTGCTGAGAAAGGGGGGTGACTCCTGCGGGAGGGCAGATAGCCAGCCCGAAGGGAGCCACGTGGTGGTGGCTGGGGGGGTCCAGGTCCTACCCAGTTTCACCATATGTGTAGGGGGGTGTGAAATGCCAGGAAGGTATCCCAAGACCTGGACTTAGAAATCAAGATGTGCAAACT